GCTGTGAGCGTAATAGGGTATGAACTAACTATCTCAAATGAGGCCCACCTCGATATGCCGATTTATTAAGCAAACTTAATGTTGTTCCAAAATTTCTCAAAAAAAGACATTTTTCACAAAAAACAATTCCCAAAATACATTTTTTCAAATTTTTACTCTCCAGTGAAAGAACTAAAGAAGGAACAAATTGTTAGAAACAATGTAAGTTTCAATAATTTTACAAATACAGATTTGGAGAATTTATAACTGACAAAAGCTAACTGAGATGTGGGCAATTGACATGAAATTTTCCATATATGAAAAATGCAAAGAAAATATGAGAAAAATAAAGATGACAATATTCAATAGTAATTTTTTATTTGGTTAAAATAGTAAAATCAAGAAACTCCGATATACGCGAGTTAGTTTTTACTTAATGATGTGGTCTTGGCTACCAAAGTATGTAATTACTTTGTACGGTTTTTGGCGAAAAATTCAGTGACCGCACTAATTTAGAATAACTGAGTTAGTATAAGTCACTAACAACGAAAGTAGTTTATGTTCTTTGTTTTTTTTTTGTAGAAGTTTATTCCCGGTATATTAAATGTGTGGAAGCAACATAAATAAAAGTTAGCAAATTGACAACAAGGATTTTTTGCAGTAAAGCCACAAAGTTCTCATTGAAATTGATAAAAACAAAATATTTCAAAAGAATTGTTAAGGGTTTATTGCTTGGCTTCGGACTAAGTCATAGTATTTGCTTAATTATCAGTTGTTGGGTGCCCGAAATTCCAAAATTAAAGCGGGTAAAGTTGAAAGCATCTAATTTATAGAATGTAATCACGATTCATGAGGTAAAATAGTATAATGACGGTATAATAACAATTAAATTGATAAAAATTCTATAATACTTCTACAGTAATTTTAAAGCAGATCGAATTTACAAACAGGAAATAACTTTTAATTTTATTTCGCTACTAAATTTTAGTAAATTATAAACGGGTCAAAAATTCTGATATGTTTTTGTTTTAATTGTTTTAACTATTTGAAATAAGGTAAATTACCAAAAATATTCAAATTGTGGCTCATCTAAGTTATATGCCTGACTTTTTAGGGAAATTGGTGATAAGTGGTAAAAGCATAAAATCTTGAGCAGATTAGAGTGTGCAATATTTTCTTTCAATTATACGCAAAAATTTCATTTGCTAATTATATGTAATATTTAGACTTGTTTCTGTTGACATGGGTTTTCGTTTGTTAGAAATCTGATCTTGAATTCGAATTTAAAAGCTAATTTAATACGAGTACACATAAAGTACGACGAAAATACCATTCGGATTATAAATACAACGTAAACAGAGTGTATATTGTTCATAATCAGCTTATTCTAATAAATCAAATTCAATTAGATGAAATAATGAGCAAAACTCAAAGTAAATGATGATCCACTATCTAGCGACAGTTAGACACATTTAATAACTTGTTTTTTTTCTTTGAGTTTCTGAACTAATTAAACAATTATCCGAATAGTGAGTCTCAAGTTTTCAAGCATGACCATCAGACATGCAATAAATATTAGATGTACTCCATAATTGCAAACTGTATGCTCCGCATATACGATGTAAGTGTTCTATTATTGTACGGATTTTGAATTATTAGTTACGCCTTTATGCTTATATGGGTGACAGATTTTACACCCAGTATTAGTGGGATTTTCAATGTTATTAGTTTTGATAGAAACTATTCTGTGCGTAATATAATAATCACATTACAAACCAAGCAAAGTGCCTTTAGATAATTAACTGTAACAAAGATTTATTATAAATTTATCTGCTTCAAACGTTGCAACCATCAACATACAAACGTACAAAATGTATTTACTGTAAACGTATAGCAGATTAATAATTTCAATAGACGAAAGAGCATAAAAAATAAAACAAACTTTTATTAAAAATAATTAGCTCGCAAGTGTTTTTAACAGTTGTACAGGGTGTTAAAATGTGAAAAAATATTTTTTATGACAATTTTCAAACCGTTCATTTAATGTACATCGTACTGATTTCATGGGCGCGTTAACCGGGAGTATTATTTTTTGCTTTAACCTGTAACGCCACTAAATATATTGAAATTATAAAAACATTTTTAAGTTTTCGGATGATTTTTTAGAAAAAACTGCTCTAAAATTTGGGTTTAGGCCCTAATTTCTGAGCTAAAATAAAGCAAACAATTTATAATAAGCATGAAAACTGATTTTCAAGTAGCAAAGTGTCATAAAATAAAATAGATTGTAATTTTATGGATACAACTTATGTAATAAAATTACAGAAAGAAGCATTTTAAAACAAGAACTAATTTATTATTGACTGAATAACAAGAGTAGTAAATTTGTGACTGCTGCCGGGAAAAAACTTCACTTTAATTTTTTTTGTATCAAATGTTAATTTTGCTGGATACTGTATTTTCATTTATAAAAGAGGATTCATGATTGATTTGTTTTTAAACTTCGGTTTTGTTATATTTTTGTTGGTGTTAAAGCGTGATCCAAGTGCTTATATTTTACTCAATTAGAGCGTACTTTTACTCCCAAGAAGCGGGTAATTGATTCATTTTCGTCATTAATATTTAATCAATCATCACTGTATTTTATTTTCGGAAAAGCAGTCTATTTAAGTTTAACAGGTTTTTAAAGAGAAGTGGTTCGTTCCTTCAGAGAAAAAAGGTCTTCTGTTAGCAAATTCATAAAGAGACAAAAAAGTTTAACCGTCTACATTAGAATTCGAAGCTTCAACCTTGACCCTCCATTGGTTTATTATTATGGTCTTTCTTGTGCCTGGGTAGACTTAAATACTATTTGCTTCAAGAGTTTAATTTAATATTTTTTGTCGTTATGACACTCTACTATTCAATTATACAGTACCATTCCACAGAACGTTGATTGATTTATCCTGAAAGTCTTCCCTGTTTGATTTTTTTCCAAGATCAACATTTTAAAGTTTGAATACTGAGGTATTTCGATCAACTTTGTAATTTTTGTGCCACTAAATGGAATAAACTACTTCGAAATAAGGTGGCTTCATTCGACTGTGGATTGGGTTATCACTTTGACGACTTTAAGGCAAACCCTACAAAAACACAATTGTTTTTCTTCGGATTAATTAATCTAAACCCATTTAAATTGCGGCTTTTCCTGCTGTCACTCGCAAGCTAAACCCAACTGCCGAGAACTAATAGATTCGAAACCGGTTATGGGAGAGATTGGAGATGACACCACTTAAAAGCTGCATTTCTGCTAAACAATTGTGGCAGAATCAGTCCATGCACTTTTTCCGTTTTATGATTTACAATTTCTTTTTGTGGATTTTGCGTCAAAATCTAGTGTTGCTGAAACCAGTCTCTTGAGATTTGATCTTTTTGGTCAAATTTAATTAGCTGTATGCTTGATTTTTAAAGATGGAGTGTTGATTGACACCAGATTGCAGGAAATGTTTTGAAGTGTTTTATGAATAATGGAACTGTAATACAGAGTCGCATGCTAGATCAAACTTCTAGTTGTTTCGATGCAATACGCTGTATAATATTACAGATTCAAAAACTGTTATTCCGAAAACTGAGTAGATTTTATTGAATATACATATTCCGAAGTAGAAGCTAGAGGCCATTATAAATTCCGGCGTTCTACGGAAACTAAGTATATTAATCTCAAATACAATGGTAAAAAAATACTCAAAACTGAAGTAACAATTTATGGAATTTCACGGATTAAAATTAATTTAAGGGATACAAATGTAGCAAGTTAGCATTTCATGTTATTCAATACTTACATATTCTACAGGGTGTTCCATAAGGATTGGTGAAAACGATTTTTAGCGCAACTTCCCTTTGAAGAAAAGCCAATGGAAACAGAAATACAGGGGGTCAAAGTTTTTATGATGTCTTTCAAATAACTTACAAACAATTGGGAGTTTATTACTGAAAGTCACAAATCTGATTTGCAACTCACTTTTAATCCAATTCTTAAATCGCCCTAACTTTTTTCTGATGCAAATTTAACTTTCTAAACAAAAAAGATATACCTTGATGGTACCTCTAAGTTCAACGGTTTCTGAGATATTTGCAATTAAATTATCCGATGCGACATATTTAATCTTGTAGGTACGTACCTGAAAAAATTAACTTAGTAGGCTGAGCTGCTTCCTACTTCCTAATGAATGACACTTCACATTAATGACATGAGTTGTCTTCGTCCTCATATTTACCATTCAATTTAAACGGAATTTCGTATTTAGATTTTCTACAAAATAATTTACTTGATTATTTGAAAGACATAAAGCATGACTTGACTTATCACTGCAAGTGAGGAATCACTTAAATTAAAATTTTCGGAATCGTTGTATTAGTTGGGGAAGTCAAACACCGTGGCCAGCACAAAGTCCTGATTTCAATCCTCTAGATTTTGGTGTATCGGGATACCGGAAGTCTTTGGTGTATGAAGAAATTATAGATACCTACTCAAAACTAATTAGTAATAAACATTAATTTAGTAACAAAACTTAATTTCCCGAAAAATATATTTCCGAATTTTAAAACATAGTTTAGCAAACCTGTGATTAAATGTATTGGTATTGGAGTTAATGGATGTCCTTTTGAACAACTTTTGTCAAAAGCTGATCAGTTTATTTATTAGAAATAAACAAATTAAAAAGAATCGACTAGCACTACAAACACACAAAGTTGAAAAAAAAAGTTCAAATGAAGAAAATCGTTAATATTAGTAATTTTATTTTACAATCATCAATTGAAGCATTTTGATGGTTGTTTCTTCGGGTTTCACAATATTTGTTACACGATGATGGAAAACGTATTTGAAATCAGCTATGTCCAGATTCAATATTGGCTGTATGTCCCAAAACTCGATTTTTTGAGGTACAGCCTTGACCCTCAGAATACTAATATCATTGTATTAAACAACGTAAAATTGATGGGATTTGACTTATCATTAATTTAATGTCTTTTTGCTTCAGAGGAAGTCACCGTAGAATATCATCGAGGTCTGCCAAAAGTAACGATTCCTCTTCCGAGTCGAAAGGAAAGATGCAGTTTTATCCTGAAACCGATCTCAAATACCGTTGGAGACTTTGTAGAAATGGTAAAAAATGAAGATAAGGGCATCGACAGGGTAGTTTGCACTGGAAAAGATGGCACTCGAATAGCGTCTTCCAATTCAATACAAGCACTATTAGATGATGATTTTAAGTTAGTAATCAACGACTGTACGTATAATGTAATAACTCCTAAAGATGAAAGACTGACAGGCGACGAAATGCAAGGGCAAGTATAGTTTTAATAGGCAATCATTTTTGTACAGTTAAATAAAGTAATAGAGATCTACTATTAGCTAAGTACGATTATATATATCCAAGATTATTTGAAAAAATAATCATCTCCGGAAACTGATAGATTTGGAAAAACTAAGACACAAACTTGGCAATAATGTTTTTGATTCGCACCTACAATCGACGTTTTTCTCATCAACAGTGCAACTTATGAATGACTAATTGAACTTTTATTTTTTACAGCCTAAACGATGTTAGAACTGTAGTAAATAAATTATACGAAGTGCTACATGTCCGAGAACATCAAGTCACCAAAGAAAAAGAGCTTCTGATGGAACTAGAAAATCTGAAACAAGAAATCACACCTTTAGAAAACGTAGGTTTCATAACTTTACAACAAAGCGCTAAATTTACATGTTAGTAATTCCCCAAAGATGTCTTATTCTTTGACCTGTAACTGGTGTTATCTTAAAAACTAAAAAACATTTCGACGGAAAAGTGTGGCCCTGTTTTTAAGATTTGTTATTTCTTAAATAGGTATTTCCTTCAATTTTTAAGGTCCTCTTTTAAATTATATAAACCAGTCGTGTGTGCAATTCCGTATTTAGTAGTCACGATTATATAAAGAAATCTCACCTAATCTGAGAAAATTTACGCTCACATTATTTTAGCGAAAATATATCGATTTAGTTAAATTTGGCCTTTCAGGCAGTTAAGAGTTTAGCGGTTGGATTATAAGTTGCCGCCGGGTTTTTAGCTAAAATCCCATTAAAGAAATAAGCACTTTCTGAACAAACCAGGTCGGTTTATACTGAGTTGATATACATGGTCCAATAATTCATAATTTTTGCATAATTTTTTTTTCCTGTTTAGCGGCTTTTTCTTTAACGAGTCTTTTATATACAGGGTGTCTCACGGTCAGCGCCCATTAGTATATTTCTGGAAATAATGCGATTTGAATCCCGCAAATTTGGATAATGGGATTTTCGGAGACGCTCTTTTCAGATTAAATAACAGCGACATTTTGCGACTTCCGGTTATACCAGAAATTGTCTCAACCCTACTTATTTTAAATTAAACTCCTAAATGTCTGTGTAGGAGACGCAATTTTTTAAGCAAACGAGCGGAATTGACTGACACCATCAATTTTGTGAGTCACATTTATAAAGCCGACAAAAATCAGGTTAACGATGGATTTTTGTAAAAATTTCCACGTCTATTGGATCAATTGTGCACTAAAGTTGGTATCAGACTCATCTTCTTGCGTGCTTGAGTTTAGGAGACGTGAATTTTTAAATAAGCCAGCGCAATTGACTGACAACATCAATTTTGAGAGTCACATTTACAAAGCCGAGGAAAATCAAGTTCTGGATGGATTTTTCTCAAATTTTCCATGTCTATAGCATCAAGTGTCCACCAAAGATGCTAAAAGATGCAACTGCTTTCCTGCTTTTTTAGTCTGGGGATGTGAATTTTTATAAAGCGAGCGCAAATACTTTTTTTCCAAAAATTCGCGTTTACGACTTGCGTACAATTTTCAATAAAATATTTCGATTCTCTTCTCCAAAAATGCATTATTAGCGTTTGAATGCATCTAAAGTTTGCCTAAAGTATAATAATTATGAATATTTTTCGATATTTAAATGCATCTGGCGTTGACATGGTGTAAAAATTCAAAATTTTTCAAATTCAAATTCAAATTTGTTAAACGGAAAAAATCCATGGCAAATTATACAATGCGTATAAAAATATTAAAATACAATAAAAATTACATGGGTGCCTTGAGCTTTAATTCGGACTTTACTCAAAAATTGGATATTCGTCCTTCAAACCCTCACAACGTTCCAGTTTTCTAACCGGGTTTAGTTTTCTCAATCGTAACTTTTAGGGACCATCATTTTTTTTAACCGATTTGAATTGCCTAAAAATCCGGTTTTACAGAAGATTATGCTCTTTGCAACCTCGTCTTAATGACCCAAATGGGCTCAGTATTAAAAGAGTTATTAAGAGAAAAACGTCCACAGCAAAACATTTTTTCAAATATTCGGGTTTTCGATCTCAAATGCCCTGAAATTTTGACGATGCCAACATTAATATTATGTTTCTTTCGTTGAATTTCAAATTTAAACCTGAAGCCAGTATTAAGAGAAATAGGCGAAAAAATGCGGCGTACTAAAATAAAATGCCATGAAACTCAAATCAATTTTTCATCAAAAATCTTTCAGAACGCATTTTGAGAAAAAACACGCAAAAAACATTGAAAAATTACATTTTGACCAGCGTAGTTTTTGAAAAAAATAACAAAAAATTTAAGAAATTATAGAACTGTTGAAAATTGAAACTGACTAGTAGCACTTGCCAATGTCTCCCAGAATTTCACTTTTTTTGTTTTATTTTATTTTATATAAATTCCACAAAATTATGCAGAATCAAACGAATCAGCAACGTATTCGAAATAATGAAGTTTTTCCAGTAATTTTTTAAGAGAGAATAAAAATTCTAATTTGTCCACTTTATTATATCTAGATTTCTTTTTCGGATAATTCATTATCGAGTACAATAATGCCTAATTTTGCAACTGAGATTTTCAGTTTCACTCTTTCTTCTTTGAAAAGATATTCAATTTTACGACACCCAAATAATGATAAAATTTTGAGAAAAACTATATTTTGCTCAGAAACTAATAGAGCAGGGTAGAAAAACTGTTCATAAAAGTTATTGGAAATAAAGAAAGGAACACAAGCAAGCATTATACAGGATGTTCCATTTAAAATAGGGAGGTTTGACAACAACTTCCGGTATAAACCGAAGTCGCATAATGTCGCTGTTATTATCTGAAAAGAGTCTGATGTCTCCGAAAATGCCATTATCCGAATTTGCAAGGAAGCAAATCGCATTACGTCCCCAAAATATTCTAATGGACGATGACCGTGAGACACCCTGTATATTAAAGGGTTGAAAGTACAACTACCAGCAAGTCGGAAAAAAATTATTGAAAAAACTTAGGTTCTCAATCTAACTTTACTCGAGTTATTCCTCATCATTCTCGCTCTTTATGTTTGACAAATAACCACTACTACCACTTTTTTTATATTGTTTTTGAATAACAATAGTTTTATTTTTTAAGGTAAAAAACGAATTGGAAATGGTGGCTGACAAAAGAAGCAACTGGTTAGCATGGGCAGGGCTAGGATTAATGTCCGTCCAGTTTGGAATCCTCGCACGACTCACTTGGTGGGAATATTCCTGGGATATCATGGAACCCGTTACTTACTTTGTCACCTATGGGACCGTTATCGCCACCTACGCTTACTTCGTACTTACTAAAGAGGTATCAGATACATGATTAAACTCAATATTTATATCGTCTTCGCAAAGCTAAATAATACGTTTTTTTTTATTCCAGGAATATATTTTAAACGATGTAAAAAATAGGCAACAACTTTTAATTATGCACAAAAAAGCTAAAAAGCTGGGAGCAGACCTTGCTAAGTATAACCAATGGCAATCCGAAATTCACAAAATCGAATACAAATTAAATAAGCTTAGAAATCCTCTTAAACTTCACTTACCCAAGAAATCACCAAGTGTTGTTGAGGATAAACCGATAACACAACCGGATATTCAAAAACCTGCAACTAATGTGGAACAACCGACAAAGAAAACTGATGTTGAGCAATGATTACTGTTGGTTGAAGGAAGTTGTTGAACGACTTTTTTCTAATATTTATTTTTAATTTTTAGGCAACCCATTATTTCAATACCTACTTTCCTTCATTTCATCGCTTTAGTAGGCAACTTAATTTGTTCCCATAATAGAACATTTTAAAGTGGTAAATTTCCTCAAGACTTGAATACTTATTTAAGGAAATACGCCGAATTCACAATTTATACTGCCTTTAGATTAATTTACTCAAGAAAAGCTGATATTAAAGTAGTACACCGATGTTGAGCATAGTTGGCTAAGTACATACTTGCATACTTCACCAATTAAAAGCTGAATCTCCTCAAGGAAAAATAATGGCATGAATACATATTCGTTAACTACACCTCGCCCAAAGTAATTGTTTGTAAATACCTTAAATATTATAAAATGTGTTTATTAATGTAGTTTCATTTTTCAAAGTAAAGGTAAGATCTTTTTTATATTTACGTGTTAATTACACTGAAACTCAACATGAATTGCAAAAGATCGGGTATTTTTAACTTTGGATTGAAGGAGTTTGTTTACAAAAGTTACATTGTTTCATACATATACAAGATTTATAAGTTTGTCATAATGTTTAAGACCGACCTAATTTGAGACTGAAAAATGATTCTATTCTAAAAAAGATTCTATTAATGGGTACATGTTTTTTCTGGACAAATTAAAACAATGCGATTTGAAAAGTAAGTTGGCTTTTGATCCATTTGTATCATTGCGATTACTACGTTAACTGAGATCATCCCTGACACAATCAAGAGTGAACATCCAACTATCGAAAATATTATTACTGTGGTAAACAAATAGATTATTCAAAATGTTTCATGGATATTAAATAATTTGAATTTGAAGATTTTTTAAGCAAATTTTTTATAATATTTTAAAAAATAATTCTAATTTAATTGTTATAAGATGTATATACTGAATTGATTAATAATTTTGAATGATGATTTTTCCTGTAAATCGATAGGAAGGAATACAATAAACGAAAATTAGCTAAGTTTAAACGAAAAATAATTTTCGGATTTGCCACAAACTAACATTTTTTCAAGTTCGAATTATTGAAGAATATTCGAGTTATAAGTAAGTAAACGAAAGTTATATTCATATATAAGGTTAAATTTACAGATTTAAAAAATATATCTGTACATATACATCAGACAATATATGTGCGATTTACAAATAGTATTGGCCTGGACGGCGTAGTGAGCAAATTTAAAATAGATTTTTTTCCTAAAATTGTTACATTGTATCTATAAAAAATACATCTGAAATTCCCTGTAACTCCGACCACTAACTAAACCAACCTTACCGCTCTTGATTACACCTGGGTAGCACTGTGTTGAGTTGCTCTTTTGAGTTGTTGCCGGTCTCTGAGTTAATGAGTCATAACTCATCACTCATTTATTAAAGCGAATTAAAGCTTTACGGGGCCCGAGACTGGAATTTTATTATCTAAAAAAACACCAGCTTATGTTTTATAAGTAAAGTTTTTCCAGCAACAGAACTGAGTTACGGCGCCGGTGCGTGGAGTTGGCACACCAATCCATTTGCGCAGCACAGTGCCAAGTGCCAACTCCTAGAAATTCACTGAGGTACCCAGGTTTACTCTTGATAACCAATATTTAGTAATACCGGTGATATTATTGTTTTCCAAATTCCTAGAACAGATGGGTTCCGTTTTCACCTCCGCCATAATAAATGAATACGTAAAATGTGGATCAGTAGGAAAAAGTTGAGGGAAGCAAAGTGACGAAGAGTTGGTTGTTAGATGTTATTTACAAAGGTTATAGCTTTTAGAGATGAACTTTCTTAAAACGAAATTGAGCTACGATTAAATACACTCAACAATGGTTTGATGAATTTGTTTATGAATGTTCAGTCAGCTTCCTCTCGTCCAAAATAATAACTGGCGGTTTAGAGATAAAACGCCAATTGTTCCCACCAATTTGACATTTAAATTTTTTGCAGCAAAATTGCCAGTTTTAACAACTCTTCTCTATCTAGGTTCCACTAGCGATACAAAAGATTCAATTACTTCATGACAACTTAACCAATTGCGAATAGAACCACACAAATGTCTAATATTTTCGGCAAAAAAAGTCCCACTTTGACGGAGGAAGACATTATTTGGAGCAGTACTGGAGCTGCTGTGAAAAAACTGTAAAACTAATGTGAAAGATGTGGGCTGATGATAATCAAATCAAAAATTCAATATTTTCTAAATCCCTTTCCTTGACTTGACTTAGCTGTATTTACCCAGTAAATCCTGCAAAGAAGTATAAGTCTAACTTACAAAACGTGAAACAAAAAGTATACCGTCTGAGGTGCGCAAAATCAATTATTTTTTTATTATTTTTATTATTATTATTATTATTTTTGTTCTGCGAAACTGGAAAAGTAATCCCTCTTCAGTGGCCTTGTAATAATTAAATGTATATGAAGAAGAAAATTTTATCTGTGATTATTTCTCTGAAGATCTTGTCTCTGAAGTATAAGAAATTGCAATTTCCGCTGTGAATGTGGTCACTATTTGAACTGGAAATTATTTATTTGCGATATGAACATTAGATTGACCAAACTAATTTCACCAAAGTATATAAATGTTTACTGAGAATTGGCAGAGGTACAAATATTTTCGACTCGGGTAAAACATACGGAGTAATTGAGGCACTGAACCACGACTATCTGCACTTTTGGCTGCAAAAGCGGATTGTATTAGAAAACCTGAAAAATGTACAATAACATTCTTTTGGCAGCAAATATTGCACCTTTGCGACTTCTCTCGCATTTTAATAATAAAATATATATTCAAATATAATCGTGTTTTTACACATCTTATTGTTTTTTATGGGAAAATATTATCTACTAAAGCGATGATGATAATTTTGGGCCAAGTTCGGATTGTTAAAAAACGCTCAACTTAGGTTTAGTTTAGGAAGAACGAAAAATTTTGTATCATTATTTACTTTTGGATTACAAATAAACTAAAAGGAAAATTGGAGTGTGGTATTTTATTTAAATATTACGCTTCAATTTTCTTATTGTAGAATATACACTCGTAGAACGAGTTAAATTTAACTAAAATGCCGAATATTTTGCATGATATATAAAAGTAAGTTGTTGACTAGATTTAGCTCTAAATATAAACAAAAGTTAAAACGACCAAACTATTGTTAGATACTGCATCTTTCTTCGACTTTGTTAACTGCTTCAAAATGGTATTGCTTCCTCAGAATATTTCGTCTGGCTTAGATTAGGGTCAATAGGCGATCTAGACTTTCATAAAATTCAATGTAATGGTCGAGGTGGAGTCGAGCCACAAAAATGGGGATGACCGTTGAAATTATCCGAATATTGTCAAACGGATTCAAATCAAATCTAGCAAACTGCATTTTCAAGACGAAACTAATAACTTTAAATCGAATTTTAAATGAAGTCCGTCCAAATTCTCGAACTATCTGAAAAACCAGAATGTTTATTTTATTCTGCATACACTTTTACGGCTTTCAACTGTTAAATTATTTAGTTTTGATGGCAGTTTGGAAAAATCGTTTTACATTGATACACTGGCATCAGTCTTGCATTATGAGCATAAACTTTTGAAAATGCTCCATATTTTTATGAACTGTAGTATTGCTCCAACGCACTGTAGAATATGCACATTTCGCTGTGATTCCGAGCTGTTTATTGTATATTATAGATATGACTAGCATATAAACAATCATTTTTCATCTTTTCTATATTGTAAATCGAATTATACATATATAATCTGTTCTCATCAAATACGTTCTAAGATTTTGTATTTAAACCTATTAAATATAGTCGAATACAGGTTATTATAATGTGCTTCCTATAATGAATACAACATTTAACTGCTATCGCTTCTCAACTACTGAATAATTGAAACGTGCAATGAATACATTTTATACTCAATAAAAAATAAAATACGAAATCATACTTTACAAATCAATTAATACAGATACATTTTCTACTGTTTCAAATTATAAAATGTATTTATTTTCAGCACAAAAACGTTTTATAAATATTAAATATTTTATAAATTTAAAAAAATATAAATAGTATTGAGAGAAGCCCAGTTTCAATTGTTGAGTATTGTAAATATCTGGACTTTATGGATGTACCTCCTTACAATGTCGTTGTTGACACTTTTGTATAAGAGAACTAAACTATACAGGTATAACTAGTTGCGCTTATTTTTGATTACATGAAAGTACTAGCTAAAGGCGCATATTGAATATTTGTGTTTGTACCGAGTGTCTGAATGATAAGCTGGTACATTTGCGACTACAAGCGGCTTTCCACTATTTCAGTTTTTTTTTTTCAAATAAGTCTGAAACGAAAATTCGTTTGAAAGATCTGTAAACGCCATTTTATTAGCCTTGATTGTTTTTTTTCCCAATTAACAGTGTATAGTTTATAGTCCAGTCGAAGTAATGATTTACCTCGGAATTCAAGATAGCAAGCTGTAAACTCGTATAAACCTTTATCTTAACATCCTAGAACTTGTCTCAAAATACATATACGTATGCAATAAAAAGTACGGCATTGCCTTTAAAAAAAAGTTAATTTTGGTCTGTCACTTGATTTTGAGACACCCTGTGTCGATTGTTATTATCTTATATATTAATCATTTTTCTATATTATTCTTCTTATTTCTATCTATTCTTCTTATAAGTTTCAAATTAAATGTTAAAACGGGGTGGTCAAAGTTCAATAACCATATATTATAATTGGATATAATTATAATTATATCCAAAATGGTTTAATGTGCAAAAAAATTAAAGAAAGGATGTAGATAATTTAATCCACTTCAATATTCACAATAAATTTAAATTCCGTAAAACTTTTGAAAAGTAGTAGATTTTGAGACAAGTTTTAGGATGCTAAAATAAAGGTTTATACGAGTTTACAGCTTGTTATCTTGAATTCCGAGATTGTTACCCTATTTTGACTAATATGACTGCACTATTATTGTTTTGGTTAAAACACATCCAATTGTCGGAGCCGTACAATCAGAATTATTGTGATTCTTCAAAGTGGAACCGTTAGCGCTTGTTTGAAAATAATATGAATTTGGGAAAATTGATAAGAGAAGATGCGATTTTTTCCCATTCCAACAACAATAGCCAGCACAGTCATTATTCTTCGAGTTTATATAGCTATATACAGGGTGTCCGTTTGAATTCAGCTTTTATTCTGATTACGATGATGTATCACATGTTCAGGTTCAGTCTTGCTGTTTCTGTTTTTGCATAGAGTGCTTTGGAATAACACCCACTCTTTTGTTCAATCAACAGATTTTAGACAGTCGAGTTCCAAAACGGACACTCTGTATAGTGGTGAGATACAGCAGATTATTATTTTGAGACCCGGTACATTGCTCTCCTATAAATTTATAATCACTGAATTCGTGATATTCCAGTGAGAACAAGACGTATAATATCAAGCATACTTATAATTAATGTAGTTATTACAGAATTATATTTATGTATTTGGAAAACTTTTTCTCCGCTTAATGTTTACAGTTTGCCTTATATAGACGATTTTTTGTTCTGTATTGACATGATTGGCTAGAAAGACGCAACACCTTGATCAGTAGTTCGTTTGGAATTTTTTCAGACACTGTTTTAAAGAGTGCATTTCTTGTTAAGGCGTTTGGAAAAAAAGTATTTTAATTTATAACGGTGAAAAAATGAACGCAAACTAGAATAGGTTAATGCATTTTACAGGTTGTAAATAATTTTTCTATGCAATTTCTGCGCTGCAAGTCCGATTGAATGATTTCAGCTACTTTTAACTACATAATTAGTGAAGGCAGTATTTGCATCTACAGAGTGTACCACAAAAACATACCCTAACTCTCAAAATATAATTAATCAAGTCAAAATAAAAGGAAAAGTGTAGCCTAAATCGATTTAGATATGCAACCACTCTTTGCTTCAAGTGCTTAAAATTTCGAAAAATGCTTGTTTATTTCTTCATAGTACTGCAGATTGTGCACCATTGATCGTATATTAGAAATCAACGGAATTTCTTGTCCTCTTTAGAAGCTCTTTTACTTCTTGAGTTTTTCTTATTATTTCTCATTATACTTCCCGCGAAATTATAAATTGAAAATCTGCAGTTCTCTTGGATATAATTATGTGTGTTCTCACACAATATTTGGAAATGCTGAAAAGCTACTCGTTAGTTTCCCAGGCAGTATTCTCATATAAGCTTCAACGTGCTTTACTTTAGCTGGCAAAGAAAATAAAAAAACCATAAAATATGTGCAAACTTATAGCAGAGACAAGATCAACAATCATCTCATTTTCCGACTTTTGCGGTTAGAAATAGTCCTTAGTATAAATTGAGCGAAAGCCAAAAAAGTGTGCTTAGTTTTTGAAAAGGAGCGTACAGTTTGAAGCTATTGGGTCAAAAATTGTCAGTATTTACGCCACTGTTTCAGTTTGAACGATCACGATTTGTACTGCACTTTTGAGCGCACCGAGTACTAATATAACTGATCTGATTTCTGCTTATAAATTGTTTTTATTGCACTAACGAAAACTCTAGCAATCATTAAAAAAAAACGTTTGTCGTTTGCACTTTTAGCTGCAATATATTGAAATGAATTTAATTTAGTATTCTTAAAATCGTAATCTCTTGACGATTTAATGCAGCAACATTTTGAAATTGAATAAACTGAGACTGCAAGATGACCCGATTTGAGGCATTTACAGCAATTTTTAAGCCTTGCAGTTTTAGTTCAATAGAAAATCATGCGAAGCCACGCTGAGTGCTGCACAGAAACGTTAATTTTACTTATTTTTTGATAAGCTGCTTTACTCCAGACTTTCCGGCGTTTGCATCCTCCCGCTGAAGTATTGATTTTGATCATGTTTATTTCATTTTATCGCCAGGTGGTCAAAACGTTCAGCTAAATTGGAACAGGTTGACAAAAAAATTAAATTCTAGTTTGTTGATGCTCAGGTTGAGATTCTGAGTCCCAAATGCTAAAATTTCTATCGTCTAAATTTCTGAGATTAGACCCTCAAAATTCAATAATATCGCGTTAACTGGCGCTTGCAAGGTGCGTTGAAGCCTATGTGGAAATTTGTCTTAAAGTTTGAGCAGGAAGCAGGCTTGTTTGTATTTTTAAAACACCGATACTGCCGATATAAAAAACGGTTTTTTTAGTTAATTTTTAAGTTTAATTAAAGTACAGTAAAAAAACGTTGGTGGGTTTTTCATACATAAAGTTGGTTGGTTCGTTTCTTGCAAAACCTATGTCGATGGTCGCAAGAATTCGTATTTTCCGTAATCAATTATATGTGTAATCGCTTGCACTCTCTTGAATCTTTAAGCCTATTATTTTGTCACAACGGGACGCATTTAATTTCATCCTTTGTGAAAAGCTCTAGAGCCTAGAATAAATCCCTTTAGATCTCTAGATCGTTATTTAATTAAACCAACGCCCATTTATTAGAAGGGATCTTTTTCTTATTGTAGGTCAAAGAAACATATCAGATCCTACAAACTGATTGTTGTTAGTTTATTGGCTAGCAGAAAAAAAATCGAGAGAAACGCTGCATATCTGATATCATAGTCTTTATTATCCGAATTTTAATAGAAATTGGTTCTCTAAAGCTACGTAAAGTGAATTCGGGGAGCGCAAAATATCGCATTCTTTCACTGAAGATTCGATTCTATATGACGTGAAAAAGCATTCAACTACGGGTGTTGAACTGAGTATTTAGTTCGAAGATAACTTTTGTAGATTTTTAAGCGTTTTGGAAACAACTAACAACCGAACGACACTTTGAGCGCTATTTCCAGATGCTACATTTTGAGGATTGATAAACTGGCAAATTGTACATGTGGAAAGAAAATCACCAACTGACTTATTTCACGGTTCCAAATTTCCAAAAAGTTAAAATTTGAGATAAAATTGAGTTCCGAGTTGAGACCCAACCCAGAACGATTCGCCAAAATTGCTTCCAATTCTTATAAGAGGACGAAATACGCGGAGTAGAAATGTCCAAATTTATTTACGGAAAGAGCTACAACAAAGCTGTTGAGATTTTCAACATTTCCTGTAGTAACTAAAATCTACAGTTTTTAAGAAAGTTTATCTTCGCAGTTTTAACACACATCTAGAAGCATGAACATTTTCTGATTCACATATCGCACTTGCTATTTAAGATGCGGTGAAAAACGCACAAAATGCAAACGAGTGATAAAAAACATGTAAAAATTGTTCGAACTTCAAAAACCTTTTAATTCTATTTTGGTGAGTTGCTGTATATTTTTAAAGCACCCAGGTCCTGTTTCAGCGTTTCATTTATTCTCGAGAGCCTTTTGCTTGTCGCAATCAATTTTTCGTCAATCTCAGTTAAGGCTAGCTGTTTTCGAAAACTAAAAGATATTGTATTGTTGATTCTACATGCTATAAATATATTAAAGTTTGTTGTCGAAAATAGTTGTTTTGTTTTTAGTACGTTTCAGAATTGCTTCATCATTAGTTTAGCGAAAAACCAACGACTTTTAAGTGGATTTCAAAATTACCGCCTTTTCATAACTTTTCATAACAATTCATAACCAACAACTGTCAAGTGTGTACTGTCAAAATATTACGTTACTTTCAAACTTTATATTTATGGCTTATTTTGAAGATAGGGGTATGTTTCTAGAACCGAACAACGTTTTAGACTTCTCAAATAAAACCTCTGGAGAAAATGGGATAAACAATTTATGGACTGGAGATTCCATAACATCTTGCATCAGAATAATTTGTAGTAAGTATCCAATTTGATTTTTGCCTCAAGTTGTGCCAAGTGAAGGAAACAATTTAGAATTAAGGTGCTTTTTGAACAGTAGGTATCAAAGCAACAGAAAGTTAGCCATCACCTAAGTGTATGCAATTTTTCCATTAAAGCTAGACCCAAAAAAGTATTTTCCCTCAAATATACCTACCTACTGTTAGCTCTATCTGATTATTAAATGTTGTGGTTGCTCCTTTCCTACTGTTGAAACCTATTTCCAAGTCACAAAATATCAAAAACTGTTTTTACAAAACGAATATCAGTACCTTGTCCTTTCAATTTACCTTCCCTAAACTAAAATCCGCAAATATTAAGGTTTACTGGGAAAATTATATGCATGTAAAGATTTAAGGATATCCTATTGCAAAGAGCGATCCATTTATTATAAGAGATGTTCAGGGCGCCCTTAATATCAATTAATTGAAATTTATTTGCTTACAAATTGAATTTCTGGAATCTACTGCACTACTACGTAAATGAATGCGGGGCTCGTAAAACGGTTCTTTTCTGCTTTTAATTGGGTATTCTTTTGATAATTTCTATGGCGATATTAAGGCCGGTATGTTCGTCGATTTGTTTTGCCGGAGATGGTTTTGGCGGATAGCTGAGCGTGCCGTCGTCGACGCGAAAGCGACGGATTTTTGATGCAAAGCTGTTCTTCGTTAGGTGGAATCGCCGGAGATTCTCCCATAGAATGAGCATGCGCAATATCGCTATTCTGGTGATATTATTAATTTACCGATAAAAGTTCGGCACTGCTTGCTGTATAGTTACCTGGTGAAGTTGTTTTAAAAGTCGGCGCTGGAACGCCGTCAAAGGCAGAAAAGATCAGCGCTTTCCACTGCGGCTAGTTGCCTCGAAGGATAAGATATTGTATAAATAAGTCGCAAAATAATAATTTTTCCTAAGAAAAGACATATTAGCAGTGAAAACCGTTATTAATGTTGAGAAAATCAACCATTGATTCTAAAACCTCTTTTCTAAACATGTAATGCAGTAATAACTTTGTTTATTATTATTATTCTTTCAACAACACACCATACAGACAAGCTTGAATTGTTTTACCAAGTAGGAACTGACAATAAAATTAATTAATAAAAATATCATTATGAAAAGAATTGTGAGAAGAAAGTGATTGATTAATGGAACAAAACATTTTGCACAATTTTCTTTGAGAAACGGAGCGGTTTTCTGAAATCGGCTTCAGGAAATGTCTCTTCACTATTTTCCATGTCTCGAATATACCTGAAAGTAATACAATTATTATTTGAATTGCATATCACGCATGTTGATGTTTTCTTAACGTACGTTTGTGGTATGTTCAAATCTAATTCCAAGTCTGAATTATCCCGATTAACACTGTACAATACATCGAGATGGTCATCTATAAATTTGAAACAAAAATAGTATAAAAACATGAGAAGTTGAGAACTTTTGCGTACAAAATAGCTTTGGCGAGCGTTCGGAAATGCCTACACCCATCTCCGACAAATTCCCACCGCATCAACAACATTAAAATGGGTGTCCATGGGGTGTGCAACCAAAATTGCCTCAAGCGAACGTTGGGAGGCCGGCGCATTGTAAAAGATCGACTAAACACACCGACCTAAGACTTGCTTTTTATGATATAAAAGAAGTATAATTTATTATTATTATGTATTTGTAAGTAATAAATATAAGCAAGTGTAGTTTGGTTATATTTATATTAATTTTATGAGGAATTATAGTACAAAACACTTGTTTTCTAGGTATTTTCTTACTTTAACCGCAGCTAACGTCGATGGAGTTCACTTTTTCGGTACAGATAAAATATTTCTTATTTATACATACGGGCCTAATTGAATACAATAAATCAGAGTGGATATGAATAACGGATACTTAAAAACAACAAGACCTGTATGCTCTTGTATTTTTATGTTATTGATGTATTCGCAAGATTTAAGGATTTACACCCAATAGACGGGCAAAGACACAACAACTACACGAAATGTTTTTTCTCATTCATGACAAGAATGTCCGTCGGCTTCGTCGTTGCCTGTACATGTCGTTACCGGGCCGTTGCCGGTTCATGTGAACACCACCATTTACTTAGCTAATAAGAATATTTTGTCGTGTCTTTGCCGGTCCATTGGGTGTCTGATAGTTTGAATCAGCCTGCAATCGTATAATATTCAATTAAAAATCTCAGAAATGACTGTTATTCGATTATTGATGTCTTTAGCATTTATACATATTTTGCAGTACTTCTACTGAGAGGCGGTTTTATTTTGGTGCAAGTTGGAAGCATTCCAGTTGAAAATGCCTACATGATCATATTTAGGAACATCATTGAAATTGCAGTTACCATTTTCTCCTATGGTTTTATTGGATTTTACCTATCGTTTGGTAAGAAATCATTTCACGGAATCATCAATTACGATGGATATATTGGAAATAAAGATGCCGATCTCAGCGCTGCCGCATTAGGTAAATTTGACTGTGCTACTGATATTTGTAAGTGTAGTTTACTATTTCCTCCGTTCTATCTTCCTTCTTCACTTCCCGTCAAAATTTATATTTTCTTTTACTCTAAACTATTTACATTCAAACATGCTTTAATGGAAAGTTACTAGTTTCACTGGTTTCGTAAATTAAGAGGCTGAAAATATTAGTTTAACGTGTATCACAGAAAACAGTTGACAAAAGTCTAACTGAAGTTAGGGTTATTAGATGAAAACGTATCCGCCCAGTATAAGGCTTTACAAAAATTCGGATCTTGTAATGTTTGTTAGCAAAATAACAATTTTTACATTATCTGGTGCTACCATTTTCATTTTAGTACTTAACACAGTAAAAAGTATTTGAATTCACACTCAACACTGATAAAGTAAAACAAGTTACTGTATAAGTAACACATACACTTTACAAGTACTTTTCGGTGCTTTATAATTTGTTTATCTGAGATAAATTTTGCGGCAAAAGCAAAAAATGGTATATAAAACTCTGAACAGCTGATATATTTTTAATTATAAGTTGTCACAGAAGGGAAAAGCTGTAAGTATATGTGTATTTGGTTTGAGGGGCTTTTAGTAATTTTCAAAACCTTTTTTTCAGAAATACATTCTTAATAAAAATGTCTTTCGTTCGCCTTCATTCTTAATAAAATGACTTGTTTTACAAAAACGCAATTATTTAAAACAAATAACAATGTTTTCTAATGAAATTGCCGCGGGTTTACTAATAGGAGAGCACATCAGAAAAAATAACTCATTGGATTTTTTTTATTTTTAGTATTCTCTTGTGTACAACAACCTTTTCATAGTTTTCAAATTCCAAGAAAAAAATATAATTCATGAAATCCTCACCCTGTGTTTCTTAACTAGGAACTTAACTGACGGGAATATAACAGTTGGGTTCTTCTTTACGCGGTATATCTAATATTGACCAATAAGGGTATGTCCGAGTTCATCCCCACAGCCCGAATAGGGAGGAAAAATACTACTCTTTGGACGAATGGGAATGATAGTGTTCAATAATAATTATTTTGTGTTGTTAATATTTCTAGGTTTTTCCTCTTGCCTTCTTGGAACCGCCATCACGTCAAGCATGTTAGTAGCTCGGTTACATCAAGTACCAATGTTGATCGTAACATTCATATCGAGCGCTTTTTTGCTTCCTACTTTAATGTGCTGGTGTTGGAGTGACTTTGGTTGGATGATGAAGCTAGCGATATTTGATCAGAGAGTTGCCGTCAAAGATTTTGGAGGCAATCTAGTGATTCATGCGCCGAGTGCCGCTATTGGACTACTGGGGGCTTTATTTTTGGGAAGAAGAATCATGAAGCTGAAAGACATCGACCGTTTTTCACTGGGCCATGAATATACCAGCGGAATCGTTACTGGATACTTTCTTATAATTGCTGGCCATATTGGATTTAACATGCCTTCAAATGCTTACGAATCCAAGCACATGTTAAATGACTATATAAGTCGTGTGTCAATCAACAGTTTAATGGCCATGGGAGCAGGCATATTAGTAGTGACTTTGATTTTAGTGATATTAACAAGAGACATCTATAGGTACTGGATAATAGTGAAATCTTTACAAGGTGGTTTGGCTGGTATTGTAACGGTGGCCGCTGGCATAGACATTTACACACCTGGTGTGAACTTTGGAATTGCTTGCGGAGGAGGAATGATTTTCTTCCTCTTCTCCAATCTCATCCATTTCTCTGCCTTAGAGGATTGCTGTAATATAATTACCATATATTTGATTTGCGGCTCTGTGGGATCACTCATACCGCCTCTACTTGGCAGCGGAGAGAACTTGGGACTGACCGGGCCAGTCGGCATCCAGTTCATACATTTGCTATGGCAGTTTATCTGTCTAATTGTAATACTTCTTATGACAGTCATCATTTATCTATCGCTATTCACAATATTATTTGCATCGGGTATATTGAAAAACACATATGAGGAAGCCAACCATCAAAGAGCAAAAATCCTGTATGGTCGATTACCATGGAAGAAATATTTCGACAGACTATTCATGATCAACGGCGCAAGTAAAGAGATATCACCAGAAAGTAACCGAAATGAGATGAACAAGACTTTTACTTCTGTCTAGAATTAAGTGTTAAAATATAGACATATTTTTTTACATGAAATGTCTGAAATTATTTAACTGGAATTAGTAAAAGTGGGTTAAATTTTCCAGCTCCAAACAAGGGGAGATCGGGGCTAGTCCCAGCGGCAAGTTGTCGTAGTCGTTATATCGCGAAAAGTAGAGAGAGTACTGAAATTTTCCAAATTTATATTTTCTGAATCGATTTAGCGATCACAACTTCCAGTTTCCAACATTGCATTTAATTTTGTTCGTTAAAATAATCTGATTTTCCGACTTGCGTAATAGTTTCATGTGATTTTACAAGAAGCAAGGTTGAAGGTAAGAAAAATGCACCTTTTATGATAGTTTGTTATGTTTCATAGATTTTCATAGTTTTTTATTAGAAGCCGAGAAGTTGTTTAAACTAATAAAATAAATAAATGAAGGGATTAGAAGAAAAACCGCCCAAGTGCAATATTTTATCACATAATCAAGTTACTACTAGTAGTAGTTACGATGACTGAATTTTTTATTTTGGTACCCCCTAAACGAACCCAAAAAATAACAATCAATATTAACGAATTTACATTTTGGATTTAATAAAGAAGAATAGGCTTTCTGGTCAAGAATATAAAAGCAGAGGGAAAAGAAAAATCCTTCAGGGGTATGAAGAGACGAGGGTCGTTTGATAAGTCGTGTTTAACAGTGATTGGAAGGAGTTGACCGTCGAATTCGAAAAAAAATGGTGTGCATCACGGCACGCTCGACAGAAGTGATAACTTCATAAATTTATAGAAACCATAAAATATTGAACTTGTTTAACGCATGATGTCAATACTAATTGTATTTTATAATTTTAATATTCTTGTTTAGTCTAATAATTTATAAATGGATCAGGAATAGGTAAAACTTAATTTAATTTCCTTTTGAATGTAAAATATCTTTCTTATTTCCAACATTTAACAATCTTTAACGAGATGTTGTACATATTGCTCTTCTTGGGTTTGTGTAAACTCTTCTTCTTGAGTTTATGTATTTTTTGTGTCATAATTTCTTATTTGCTTTGTATAATCTTTGACGTTCAGCACTAGTTCGTGGTTCATGAAAGCTACTTTGAGTTGATCTATTACTTAATGCTCCTTTTTTAGGACGAAATAGTTTTTGGCGTTCAGCATTACTTAATACTTTTCGCATTATAGCATGTTTTTGTGACTGCTCTTGTGTATGTTGTTCATGAATGTCTGCTACAACTTGTATCTGAATAGGACTAAAAAATCAATTAACTTTGGTGATTGAAGACGTTGTATCTGTTTAAAATAGACGGTAAAACGAGGAAGAGTCATAGAGACAGGATACACTTGACACACTATATGTATACATAATGTAAGCCATCGCGCGTATGTTCAAAAAAAAAAATTCTAACGGAACTAATCCAAGGCTAAAAAAGTTAAACTAAATTGAGAAGATTTAATCATACAGGAATCAAAGGGTATATGAAAGGAAAAAATCCATTTTGATGCGTGGTAAACACAATTAATCATTGAAAATAAGCTATAATAAATTCGTTTTACATATTTTGCAACTATGAGCTGAGCTGAGATTCGTATCGCGTGAACATCAAGAATGCGTTGCGGGATAGAAAAGAAGAAGACGGAACCCATGTTTTCTGAAATAACCGAGGTAAACTCAAACATTTTTTCAATTAAATTCAAAACATATTTATTATATATTTTTACAAAACAGTAATGATGTTTATCATTTTATGTTAAATATGAAAGATTACAAAATAGATATCTAAATATTGATTATTTGTTGTTACAAAATAAAATAACAAATAATAGAACATATTATTGCATTAAAAGTTATTAATAATAGTTGTGACACTTTATTTGCACTTAATCTTGAGCGTTTTTCATAAATTGACCCTACCTTCTTTAGAAAATATTCGCTCACTCAACATCTGGTTTAACAATTGGCTCCGATGAAAATCACTAAACAAGTAGGTAGTAATATTTTACCAGTTCGGAACTTTGAATCGTGCAATACAATGCAAATGGACATCATCAGGGCAGCATCTGGACTACAGACGGAGAGTAAGACATAGGGAATCGGTACCGGGATTGATCGATACGATTTAATTTAATTTAATCTTATCTTGATACGAATTGGCGTCCACAATCAATCAGGCGATTTAAAATAGGTCCAACAGTTTCTCAAAAACTTTATTGTAGTGGATCTTAGGCACAATTTTGTTGCACAACATCGATTGTTAGTTCTTAAAACAATATTTAACGGTACACGGCAATGTGCACTCTCATTTGCAATGATAAATACCCGGTCGTTTGAAGATGATTTTCAAAAGTTTGTAATACATTTTTCTGCAAATGGATGGACGATCTGCATTTTTTGCACTTAAACTGCTTTAGTCTGTATAATTGTGTGTACTTTAATTGGAAATTTAAAAGAAGGCGAAACTCGAACAGGCATTTAGTACATGAGCACCCTTAACCTAGTATTTGCAGTATCTGCAGCTTCTCCCTTGATAATTTGTTGATTCATTGTTATCAGCGCTCTAAAATAAACTGCACTGAACACAATAATATCACATTCAATAATTGATAAATCAAAATCACTGTCAGTTTAATAAAGCAATGTGTATTTGAAAAGTTTATCAGATCTACAGATGCACCCGCACTAAGAGAAAAATGTCGAATTCAAAGTGCATATGTGCGTCCCAAGCCTCAGGCGCGAAGAGGCCGGAGTGGGAGCCGCCGTGACCGAGAAAACCTCCCCTTGGTTCACCCTCCCATAAAAAGTTAACACTTCAAAAATGGAAAAAAGTGAATTTTGAGTGCTGATACTGCTGATCAAGGAAAAGCTTGATAAATACTATGGGGACTCTGCACCATCAATTTTCAATGGTTAAGAAGCGTTACAGCGAACCGAGTTCCGTTGTGGTCCTACCAGCACAAATGACGCAGAACGTTCAGGGCGTCCAAAAGTGGTTCTTAAGCCAGAAATGGTCGATAAAATCCATGGAACGATGCTGGACGATCGGAGAATAAAAGTGCATGAGATGGCTGAGGCTGTAGGCATCTCAACTGAGAGGGTACATCACACTTTACGTGAATATTTGGATATGAAAAAGATGTCCGCACGATGGGTGTCGCGATTGCTGGCACTCCCGTGTGACCATTTCAAATGAATGTTTAAGACAGAGAACACACAAGAGACCAAACAACAATCAAAACAGTGGGTTCAACACACTGTTTGTTGGGTGTTGGCCAACAAGGTGATGGCCAGTTTTTTGGGATGCACGCTGTGTCACTCACATCGACTACCTTGAAAAGGGTAAAACGATTACTGGCGCATATTATTCAGAGCTTTTGGACAGATTCGATGTTGACTTGGACCTAAAACGGCCGCATTTGGCGAAAAAAATGTACAAAAGACGCTGGACTAAGTGTATCGAGCTAAAAGGAGATTATGTTGAGTGAAAATTGACTGAAATAATATCTCATTCAAAAAGTCACTGACTTATCAAACGACCCTCATACATGCTTGTACCAATGTGGGGAGGCTACAAGGATGAGAGACAACGACTTTTTTCTAAGTTGTACAGTTTACCAACGTATGATCTACTAGATTTTGAATCCATTCCAAACTATTTAAAGAAGCATAGTAAGGAAGGAGAAGGAAATGATTTTCACATAATAAAACCAAACATAGTTTTCCTTTAGAAAAACTTTGGATGAGGAATTTCCATTTTTTCAGTTAGCAAAATACTCAAAAAATCGTGGGCGCCCTGTAAATAATTTAAAATTAGAACCCTTTAACCAAGAAACATTAAACATTAAATATGAGAAATGGGAGAATCTTCAAAAGTTGCTAGATTTTATCTTTCCAATAGACTATCAATTTTACAAAGACAAAAATAGAAAAAACAAACGACCGGCAATCCAGCTGAATGGTCGCAAATTGAAAATGTCGAAGAACAAGATAATAATTACATGAATTTGTGTTTTTTTGTTTTCTGTAATGCTAAACATTCATTTTTCCGAAAAATATTAACATATTCAATAAAATGTTTTTATTTTTTGATAATTTCATTTAATTCAAAGGCAAAACAACCCAAGGGCTTTTTTATTTAAAAAATGTGTTTTTATTTCTTGAATAGTTGTTAAGTTTTTGTATTTTATTTCAATCGTTCTATAACACAAACTAATTTAATTTATTAGCTCAGATTCTTTCACTGTAAGAAAACTTTGGCAGAAAACTGGGCTTATTGATGACAAATATTATTATTATCCATCCTATTGTTATCATCGGGTGCGCGTCAAAGGAAAATCTACATACTTATGCAGAATATTTATTTACAAAAAAATAAATGTCAATCAAAATTAATAAGAAAAAAATGTATTACAAATAAAAAATATATTAATGGTATGTCAATGTAGCTGAATGTCAGGGTTTTCATCAAGAGCGTTCTCGATATATTGTGCAACAAGTCTATGAAAGACATCACACGCTGTTACAAAACGTTCAAGTTGTACGTTACAGTTGTTCGAATTATTATTTTCAAAAATCAATTCTATCGTATCACAAACATCTTGAATACATGTACTATCGACAGTTGATTCTTTTTTCGATTGCAGTTCCATAATGTCCTGAAAAATCTCGATACAAATATTTCTTAGCCGATCTCTCAGGCGGATGCACATCTCAAAAGCTCTGTCCAGTGCCTTGATTTCGCCCTCACTTTTTATTGCATGTGATACCTCAAAACTACATAGCTGAAATTCCCCTATTGAAACGTTTAACTTATAGTGTTGTTCTGTGGGCATTTCATGGGCCTCGATCTCCAGAATTCCATTATTATTTATTGAGAAAACTACTTGAAATGCTACTACATCCTGGGCTGTCGCTCCGGGTAGTTCAGATACTTTGAATTCAGCTAATAAATTATTAAAACGGCAGTCTGTTCGTTGGCCTTCAAAAATCCGCAATCTACATGACTTTTCTTTTGTTAAAATCGTTTGAATAAGATTACCTGGGGATCTTACTGGAAAAGGAGAATTTTTCACAATAAACGTTTCGGTTAAGTCACCAACAGCACCCAAACCTAAAGAAAATGGAGACACTTCTGTTAACTGGTAAGTGGCGAATTTTATGGCACATTTTTGAACCACTCCTGCTTGAATGCTTGCACCAAAAGCTACGGCTGCTTCAAGGTTTAAGGCTGTACGAATTTTGCTTTTACCAAAAAATGACGTCAACATATTTCGAATTTTTGGAATGCGAGTAGTGCCACCAACTAGAATAACATCTCTAATATCATCTTTGGTCATGTGTGCTTCATCAAGACACTTTTGCATGAGTTTTTCAGCCCTGGCAAACAAATGTTCGGTTAGTTCTTCAAACTTTTCCCTATCCATTCTGATTATGGAAGAATCTGGGTCTTCCGTTATGATATTTACATGAATGGAATGAAATTGATTTTGTGAAAGCGCATGTTTCAAGTGTACACACGCCTCATCAATTTCTCGTACAATTTTATCAGGCCTGGTAAAGTGGGTAGTGAAACCTGACTTAGCCGCATTTACAAGAATTCGATCAAAATCTCTGCCGCCAAGAAAACAATCTCCTTCAACACATTTCACACAAAATGAAGTTCCACTAATTTCAATAATTGAGACGTCAAAAGTGCCTGCTCCAAAATCAAAAACTAGAACATTATAGCTCTGGGGAGATGCTGCGGTAGAATATTTATCTTCAGCATAATAAACAGCAGTTGCCAGCGGTTCGGAAATAAGTCTGAGCACTTTCAACCCAGCGGCTTCTGCTGCAGTTAACGTTGCTTTCCTTTGCGCGTTGCTAAAAGACGCTGGTACGGAAATAACTGCCTCTGTAACATCGCTTTTTAAATACTCTGTAGCGGAATCTTTCAAATATTTCAATATATCGGAAACTACTCTGATCAGTGTTATTCGCACAGATTCTCCATTATGCTCCAGTTCAATTTCAGCAGCCCCGTTATCGCCTCGAACAATTTTATATGGGTATTCTGGCGAATTGATTAATTGTTGCACGTAGACATCTTCATACGTCCGTCCAATAATTCTTTTTATATCTGAAACATAACGAGTTACTTGTAAATATAGTTATTATTATAATTAAAAAATAAAATTGCATTTGAAAAGTTTAAAATTTGAAATTTTGTCAATCAATGAGATCAGATTTTCAGTTAATATTTTGCTAACCCTTGCGGATGTTATTTTCAGGTAAGATGACGTGATGGCCAAAGTGTTTTTTCCGCGTTGTTTGCGTATTTCGTAGTGTATTAAAACTATGTTTACTAATGTTTTTGCAAATTTATAATTACTTTGTCATTAAAATTGTCTATTTCACTTCAGCTCTAAATGCTCTTTGAAATGAAAATGTTTTGTCCAATTTAGTTGTATAACTTTTCTCTCTGCGTAACCATATTTTTTTATAAAATCTGGTAACAGTATGCCTTTTCCTGTTAATTTTGTCTTTTCTTCGTACGAATATTTCCTACAACTAAAATGAGACTATTACTCGCAAATCATGTGCAATCTTCCAATTACATAAGTAGCTTACTTCTGTTCTAAGAGGTAGTTATTCTGAACGCTTTGGCACAGCATAATTTTAAATAAAAAACAAATTTATTTAATAATTTCTTTAAATTTATTTTCCTGTCTGAGTGCACTTGTTATAATATTCCTTTCCTTCCTGGGTAACACACAATAACATTTTTTATATTGTTTATTTCATAACGTTTCGGCGAGACAACAGCGCCATCCTCAGATTTAAAATTCATGCAAACTACAAACACCAATTTACAATTAAAATATATGTTGTACAAAAAGTATGATTTATAAAGAGTTAAGCATTCATTAATCCTTGAGGAAAAAACCTTTCTTTTTGGGAGAGCAAAACATTTGAAAAACTTACTTTATTTAATAATTTCAAGAGCTACTTATACCTATGCATCAAATATGGTTGAACTCGGGAAGAGTACCTAGAGCTATCTAATCGTATCAAAACATACAATCACAACAACACAAGTTTATCTGATAAGGTTTTTGAGACGTCATACATAATTATCTATTAAAAATGCATTTACACTTTATAAAGAATTCTGGTAATAAAGGAGCTAAAAATAAAGTTGAAATCAGCAATTTTTCAGCTTTACCATCTAGTAAACAAATCAACAAAACAAAAATTAAAAACGACTTTTGTCTCAAAAATCAAGCTTCCTGGTAGCTGTTACGGTTTTCAAAGTAACCCATGAAAATGACCAATTTTGCCCACCCTGAACATCTCAATGTTTTATTAAACAATACAAAACGATCATTCCCCCCACTGAACTAAAGGACCAAATTAGACAAACTTTCACCAACATTATGCACTTTTTTCAATTTGAAAAAATCAACATTTTCTACAGACCCTCTTCACCACGATATAGGCTCCTAAGAGACGCCGCTGAAAATCGGTTTTTATAAAATAACTTTTAGTCAGGTATAATTTGCTAATTTTTTAATATAGTAGATACTATTAAGGCCCCGTAGAATAGTGTTATTGAAACTCATTTTTGAGTTCGCCTAGGACCGACCGGCTTAGTCACATTAATGCGCATATTTTAACACCCATTACATAAGAAAATAATTTTTAGCTACCTTGAAGCTGAAAAACGTATTCTTGTTTTTACATACTTTAACTGCTATTTTAGATTTAATTCAATTAAAGTTTGTTTAAAAATTGTGTAACTAGGTTCAACGTGGGCTCCTATTCAGAAATAAAGATTGTTCAACGCGCCACAAAATCCCAGCATGATCTCTTATTCATCGGAATGAAACATAATTATTTGCAGCAGTTCCTCCCGAATTTCAACAGGAGTGGAATAAACCAAGTTTTTCAGGTGGCCCCAGGCATAAAAATCTAATGAATTTAAGTCGGGAAACGGGGAGGCCAAGTCACAGGTTCTACTCTCTCACCACTGATTTGAAAAAACATTGTTTAGAATCTTTAGATGGGCTCTAAAATGAGGAGGTGCCCCGTCGTGCAAAATTCAATTCAAATAAATATTTGTTGGGGTAAATATATCGAGACTGATGAGACTTCTGTTTTCAAAATTGGCAATATTGTGAATCGGCCTAAAAAATGATTTTCGCAAAAATAGGTAAACTTTCATGATTGAAAAGATATCCTGTTGGGAAACGGTTCATTTTATCGATGTCAAACCAGAGTACGAGTTTTTTAGTTTAAGCTTCAAGCTATCCAAAAATGTTTTTCAGATGCTATTACGATACAGGGTGTTGAAAATACAAGCTGGTCGGTCCCCGGTAAATTCAAACAGCAAAATGCAATTCACATACTCTGTTTCAACTACTTAGTACCCATAATTAAAAAAAATATATATTAAATTAGACCTTTTAACGTTAGCCTTAATAGTAATTTAAAAGTAATTTCATAAAAACAGATTTTCGGTGGCGTCTCTTACGGGCCAATAACTGAGTAGGGAGGGTCTATATAATTTTTTGTGCATTGAATGTACCGAAAACAGGGAGACAATTAAGTCGGTTAAATTATCTTGTGGTAAATGAATTTCAACAACTAGATACTAACCAACTGAAAATAATGAATACTTTCTTCTATAAGAAACCGTACCGTAAATGAACTTGGCATTGCCCCGACAAAAAAAACAAAACATTAAATAGACTTCATAATCACAAACAGGAAATACATAATAGCAAACGTACCTGTACTGAATAAGGTGCAAACTAGAGACCATCGAATGCTGATAGCAAAGATGACAATAAATAAAAAATTTGAAAGAAGAAAATTAACAATTAATGAAAACAAAGCGATAAAGCTCAGTGAACTAAGAGAACACGAAGAAACTTACAGAATCAACCTTGATACATCACTAGAAAATGATCTTACGATTCAAGGAACAGATAGTATACACTAAACCATTACATAACAGATAAAGTGATAAAAACTGCTAAGAAAATCCTTGAAGTTGCACCAAAGAAATAAGCACTGGGTAAGATAACAGAAGAGACTAAGAAACTAATGCGGAGGAGAAATAACGAAAAACTGAATACGACAGACGAATATCTGAAAGTAATAAGCAAACAAATCAGAAGAGAAGACACGATGTGAAACAATATAACGAAAGAACGGTGGAAGAAATAATTAATAATTATACAGGGAGATACGATCTCTCCCAAACTTTTTTTAAGACAAAGATATGCAATCAATGCGTGCTACCAATCCTAACATATTCATTCGAAACATGGACCATAAAGAAAAAAATGGAAAAGATTAAACTGTGTCAAAGAAAAATGGCTATGCTTGAAGTGAGACTACAAGCCTGAATAAGAAACGAACATATAAAGCAGAAAACAAAGGTGGACGACGTAGCAAGACGCATAGTGGCGATAGGAGGGGCACATAACAAGAATCCAGGACAACAGATGAACAAAAAAGTGACTGTATGGAGGCGACGACACGGCAAAAGAAATAAAGGCAGACTAAGAGCCAGATGGAAAAACGACATCGACAAAACTGCAGGAAAACTATGGTCCGAAACGCTGAGGCCCGCATAATGTGGAAGCAACTTCAGGAGACTTATATCCAACAATGGATCGAATAGCTGTTGCATGATGATGATGATGATGATGATGATAAGATACTAACCAAAAAGGCGATTGTCAGAATTTTTAGTGTCGCAGTGAACAGCAACAGTTCCAACCAAAGCAGCGAAGCTAACCGGATCATAAAACACAACAGATGGCGTCGAACTCTCTCCATTCTTATTTGGAATAACTTCGTATGATCCATTTCTGTAAACAGCGATCACACAAGAACTAGTGCCTAAGTCTATTCCTATGGCTTGAGTCTGGGCCATCTGAAAACCAAAGTCTGTATGTAAAAAAGTACAACTCCCTTTTATGTCTGCTACGTGCAGAATCATTTGATTACCTATCATAACATTCTTATATCAAAAGCAGTTATAATGATGAGGCCGACTAAATACTAAATTATATAAAGTTGACATTATTGCTGCTTGTTGCGTACTATGTTTCTCGGTTGATATTAGGTGTACTGTTACTTTGGAAAATCGTCTTCTCACAAAATAACTATTTTTCCAGAGAAAATCGTGCATTCTTATTAACAGTTGTATAATTACGCTGATTATTATTTAATTATCCTGTATAAATGTTCTTATTTGATACATAACACATGACCAGAACGTACGATAAAAAACTGCCAGTGGGCGATACCCATATATGCGAAATCTGTCGCACCCAGTTCGCACAAAAACGCATCCAAAGGACGTCCGGCCCACAGACTACACACTATTATACAGGGTGGGCCAACGAAAAGGTCGCAACCCTATTTATGACTCTCCTGGTAGATTTATTTAAACAAACACTCGAACACGTCAACTTTGATTTTTAAGGGGATATCTTGCTGACTATCATTACATTATACAGGGTGTTTCATAGACAAGATTTTACATCACACTTTTAATTTTTAAATGGCATCCTACTACTTTTATGTAATTTTTCGATCCTGCCAAAACTTTGTAGTAAATTTCGTATAGCATGTCCTATACCCATCTTCAAGCGTTTCAATTTTCTTTGCGTTTGCTGTTGAATGATTGAGATATTAAGCCGTTCGAAAGTATCGCAGATTGCCATTTCTATGGCTACCTCTGACAGATTAGGAAAAATCGTCACATCGACAAGTCGCCGTCAAGTGTCAGTGTGGGTTTAAACTTTTTTTTTAGCTTAACTTGCACATGTTTCATTATAAGGAAATTTTCCATCCGCAAAAAAGAAGAAATAATAAAAATTAATTTTGAGAATAGAAGTTCTGCCAGGGCTTCCGCTCGTTTATTTAATGAGTTAAGTTAAACTGTTACAGACATGCTGGTAGAAAGTGCACGAGTTAATTAACTGAGTACGGGAAGCTGCTTGATAAGAGTGGATAATAAGGAGATTACACAGGCACTAGCTTGTTTGCAGTTAAACATTCAAATGTTTGGTGTTGTATGGATTATTTATGTAAACACCAAACCCCGCAGAATTCGAGGTTATGAGAACAGGTTGACATGTCGAAAGTACGTTGCGCAGTCAACGAATCTTGTTGAATTTACCGTTTGTCCTTGTCTATCTTATTGTCACTCTGTATAATTCGATGGTTACCGGAGTTTTAAATAATTACGAAACAACAGGTATTTGCGCAATGTCAATTAGGCAGATTACCTTGAAAAACATTACTGCCGTATTTCTGATATAGTTTTTTGCAAATTTCTCAGTTTTTAATAACAATTAATTTCTTTTACTATTTTTTCTGTACTCCTATAACAGCGCCAGACAACACCTACAGAGGAATGACGCCAATTTTGAATCACCCTGTATTATAAATTCCAACTTTTCTAACTAATCTTAACTAGAAATATTTCTTCATCACGGCTGCGGGCCAATGAGTATACGGTACTCATGTGGTTTTCCTCTCAACGTAGCCCTACTTTTATTAGATTATAAACAGATTTATAGACTATAAAAAACACGTAATGCCATTTTTTTAGTTAACAAACTTGCCAGAAATTTAACAACTGAAACTAGCCAAGACGCTTTAAGCATTTCAAATCTTCCAAAGCTTGCCGACCAGATTCACGTAGTTCACGGAGGCAGCAGGTAGCTAGGTTAACTTAATTAGCAATTTACCTTAAATCCATTTACCATAAATTAAGGTAACATAAGCCGTACAACAATTGGAGGAAAAGCCCAATAGGATATCTTATCCCACAATACAATGCAACGACCGTGCTTATTGTTCATTACTAGAACATGCAATCTGTTTTCATATTTTAGTTCAGGTCTACCAACTCGACTTATCAAGATTGACATTTCATTGAATGTGGCCACCAGTGCAGGAACCAAATTACACTCTTTGAAATTATAATAACATATATATGCATCGAAAAACAAAACACCACGGTTCCTTCTATAATCACAATAAATATTTTGAGTCTATTATCGAGCATATTTGCTTCAGTTATTTCAAAGGCCTGATTACTTTGATTTGGATGAATGAAGTTTGCTCACTCACAGGTCTTATCAGCTTGTGTTCTAAAACATAATTTAATACATTGTTTTATCAGTATCTATATAAGCCATAAATATCTGCGGTTACAGAAAACGCCGAGAGTATGGCTTAGAAAAGCAAATCGGCACACATTTATGAAAGGAAATTGGATTTATTCTTACCTGGACTAAAAGCACTATACTATATAAGCAAACTGTCGCGACAAAAAATGATTATTTGCATCTGTAAGCACAGATCACAGAGGTTGTCTGTAATCTGTGTCTGTAAGTACATAATGCATGTGTTATCATATTTAAGATAAGATAGTGCTTAGTGGGTATGTCGGGGATTTACACTTGCTGTCCCGTTTAGCTACGTTTTAGCTACGTTTACACCTGACTGGTTTACTGGCGAAAAGTACTGGACGGCACTAAATTTGTGCTGCTGCTGTTGTTATGCCGGTATTACACTACGTACTTTTCCCGATTGATTGGTAAGTATATTTAAAAAAAGATATATAAAGAAATTAAAGATTAGGTTAGTATGTTGTAAAAAAGTTACTCTTTATGTTACATTTATTCAGTCGTTTACGAGGTTTAAGTTCCAATTTCTTAACCGATATCTAATAATTGCAAGATAGTTGATTTTCTTGGTAATTCGGTCTGGACAATGCGACTAAAATATTAAATATTTCATCAAGCTGTACAAAAAATTATGGAGTAGGTATTCTGGAGGGTTCCCAGCCTTCTTATGGTCAAACAATTAGCAGTAAGTACTTCGCAATTGTAGTTTTTAATTTTCATGCCCTTTTATTTCATAACGCATCTGATTGAAATTTATGTAATAAGTTGTCCAGTCCTGAGGAAGGCGACAATAAATTGCCGAAAGCTTGGTAGCTAAAAAAGATTTTGTTTTTCTTCACCACTGCGCGCCCAAACCCAATTCCCAAGAAAATCAACCATTTTACGAGGTTTGTCAGAAAATATTATTTAAATTTGATATTTGAACGTAGTTTTTAGTTCTGATCAACTTTTCTTAATAACAGTTTTCGATATTGTAAAAAATTAGGCTCGGGTCTACTTTATTCATGACCAAAATCCATATTTTCTGCTATACCTTACATACGCCTGAAAAAAGATAATCTGATCGTTGCATTTTTGGTTTTGGGCCAAGCAGAACTTTTTATGAAGAATTTTTTTTTGGTAAAATTAATAATAATTTTCCATGGTTGATTTTAATAACGTGAATTAAAAAAAATAATTTTTGGTCTTAATTATATTAATTAAGTAATTACTGTTTTAAATATAATTTTTTACAACGATACAAAGTACGAAAAATACTCAGTACTTAGTACATAAAGTGGTAATATTGTTTATTCATCAAATATGTCTTCGTATGAAACCAGATCTCGCTTGTCTTTATGGTTTCCTTTCTGTGAATTAGTTGAAGCTAGAGTGGTCCAAGCAACTGATGACGTCGACTCATTAATTGGTTCAATTTGCGGTTGTCGCCTGGCCAAAGAAACTTGAAGTTGAATTCCTGACACCATACTCCCATCCATTTCCGAAATGGCCCTGTCCGCAGCGTCCGTTTTATCAAAAGTCACAAATCCTCTATTTTTCTCGATTTCCATTGAAATGTTGATAATATTCCCCATAGTAGAGAAGTGCTTCTTAAGAAATTCGTCGGTTATTTTATATCCAGACACGTAAATCGTGTTGCCAGTACGAGGTTTCTCCACTTTATCCTTGGGTTTTTCAATTACGCTACGCTCGTCCCTTTCCCTTACATTTTCAAAATTATCATAGAGATTCTTTATTCTAGGTGGCTTATTTTCGGGATTGTCGGGTCCATCTTCCATTTGAATTGCCGAGAAAGGTTGATATCCACTCACTGTCTTCTCTGATATTAACTTTCTTTCCAATCCTCTCGGCCGTTTAAACCCATGTTCAGGTAGTTTTTGTTGCTTCGTTATTGCCGAAATTGCTCCCGATTTAATCAATTTCTTTGCCACTTCCCTGGCGTCTCTTGCCTCTGCTGGTCTCTTTGGTGCTACCGGGCGTTCTGGTTCAGGTTTGGGGGCTTTAAGAGCTGTTAGTGCCTTTTTCTTCTTTTTTAATTTCGCATATTTCGCTTGAAGCATCAATTCTTCTTCAGTAAAATTGGCAGGAAAATGGATGTACACCATCTTCTACACTATCCTGAAACAAACAGAATAATATAAATAAATGAGCATCCAAATATACAAATTATAATTGTGATTTTAAAGAAGACAAATAAATTTGTTACATATAGTATATATTTTAGTTGCGTTACACCATATTCTGGTTAATTCTTAATTTTCAATAACAATGTCGAACATGTACAAAGTTCGCCTTCGGAAAAGCTAAATCGGTCAAATCTTCGACATAAAGACGCACGGAATCCCCGAAACATTGTTTAGCATACGCCAGCCAAGTCACTTTTTAAAATATCTCTATTTACTAATTAGAGCTTTTTCTTGTAGCTCTAAACCATCCATATTTCATGGTATGTACTTTATTTCATTTTTAAACATGTTATTGATTTAAGACAACTCTTCATTTGCTGACTAGATTTTTTTACAGCTTTACGAATAAATCTGAAGCCTAGTGCCCACTAGCGAATATTTTCGTATCAGTTTTTTATTAAAGTATGAGTGTGCCTAACGGACTCTTATTGATTTCTAAGAAGAAACGCAAGAAAATTTATTATGTGGCATTTTTTTGTTACTATGCACGTTACTTCGTATGTAGACATTTGTATATGGGCAGATGTATATGCTGGGTGTTCGGAAATTATACGACAAAAAGTAAAAAAGATGATTCTACATGACAACTTAATGTCTCAAGTTCACATGGCAGTTTTCACAAATCTAAAAAATAACGGACCTCCACGCCTTCAATACTTTAAGAAAACCAATTTAATGGTAGTTACAAAATTTCAGATTTTAAAATAATTCTTATTTAATATTTTCTTTGCTTATTCACCGATTATTTTCAATATTGGCACACTTCCTGCACATGTGGCTTAACATTCAAGAACCTATAAAACTCATACAAACCTTGTACTTATTCCTCTCACAAATAAAATAATAGCAGATGGGGTAAAACTGGCATCGGTTTCCTAGTCTCGATTTTTACGACAAAATTAATGGCGGAAACCGTATATCAATATACAGGGTGTCCCGTAAGCACATGATCAAAAGGATGCTGAGATATTCTTTGCATCAAAAGAAGAGGATGTGACCTAACTGTTATTAAGAAAACATCTCTGACTCCTATGTTAATGGTCAAAGTTCTTCAGAAAAATGATCTTTTTTAAATGTCGGGAGAATGGTACGGTGTATTTTAGTGAAACTCGCTCTGTGAATTTGTTCTTATGTTAGACTCATATTTTGATGAAACAATTGAGTTCAGCAGTTTTGGACAAGTGGTCAATTCTTCAGTGTCGTGGTACAAAAACTACCAGAACTTTTTATTGGGTAGATGAAATCAACTCAATTTTTTTCGGTTCATGCACTAATCATGTATGCACAATTTCGCGCTCTTTGTAAAATCTTATAGCATTCATAGTTTTTGCGAAAAAAAATATTTCTGTTTTCTTGCCACTTAACAATGTTAGAGATTAACTGCAAATATCATGATACGATTGAGAAATTAATTCTCAATCAATATCACAAATTCGTTACAAATGACCTTTTCTAATAAAGAAGTGACCGACATGGTCAAAGAATTAGGGTTTTGCGACGACAACTTGCGTGAAAGAATGTCTAACATTGTTAAGTGGCAAGAAAACAGACATATTTTTTTGTGCAAAAACAATTAATGCTACAAGATTTTACAGACAGCATAATATTGTGAATAAATGATTAGTGCATCAACCAAAAAAAAAAATGAGTTGATTCCATCTACCAAATAAAAAGTTCTGGTAGTTTTTGTACCTCGACCCTCAATAATTCACCACTTGTCCAAAACAAGTTCCGATTGTTTCATCAAAATATGAATCTTACATACGAACAAATTCCAGACAAACAAATGAAGACCTCCAAATACCAAATACCAAATACCAAATCAGTATCAGAGGGGCCAGACATTTTTTGTTAATAAAAGTTAGCTCAGATCGTCTTCTTTTGATCCAAAGAATGTTGCAGTACCCTTTTGATCATGTGCTTACGGGATTGTATACACTTAATACACTGTATTTAACCGTTTCAGAGATCTGAAAATACTCTGATTTTGGAAAAATTATCTAACATTTTTTTGTGTGATTTTTTTTTAAATTTCTGTGGAAACGTTTCCAAAGCACTATTTTTACGTATAATGCAACAATGTAAGCTTCATTTGTGGCAGACCAATAGTCTCATGGTTATTAAAAAAAAACTCTTTTTGAATGGCACATATTTTATCAAATTTGAATTGAATGTTTGGCTCCACTATTCTGTGAACTAAAAATGTTACTAAAAGTGCTTGAAAACTGATAACCTCTAATGTGAGTAGGTATTCATTTATAATCGTAATCCGAAAGGGGCAGACCTAGGTATTGACCAACACTTGAGTTAGATATCGGAAATATAAGCTACATTACACCAAAACTACTATTCTTAAGACTACAATTACATTCCCTATAAAACCACATGTATGAATTAATCTCGCAAAGGGAATGTTCAACGCAAAGAGTTTACAAAGCACCAGCTAACTTGTTCCCAAATGCCACAAAAACTTAACTAACATATTTACTTATTATCACTTACTGGCAGTATTTGCACAAGTATTTGTTTATAAACACTCGTAGACAGACAGCATAAGCATAACCTCTTTTTCATCTTCTTCTTCGTGCATCACATAATGATTATTATACATAATTTAATCAGCTTTATTTATTATTATTATTATTTATTAATTTATAAGTTTAATATCATTCAATATTGATCATCGTTGCAGTTGTACAAACAGAAAAAGAGGGAAAAACAAAAAGGTTTAAATGTCAGGTTTGTAGAATATTGCCAAACCTCGTAAGTCCCCCAAATGCTGCCTAGCAGCAATACCATTAAGGAAGAAGAAGAACCTCGTAAGTATGCAAGTAATAAACGTGTAAAACCGAGTAATTATGGCGTCGATTTCCGAAAACATTTTGGGATTTGTGTAAAATATTACAAACCATTTAGGTTTATAAATAAAACAGCAACTTTTTCAGCAATGAGTAACTAGCTGGATTCACTTCTTCTCACGAGTTTTGGCGACAATGTCAATTGTCAAAATTGTCCAACGCCGCTTGGAGGCAATTTTTTAGCCAAACATTTTAGTATTTACAAACAGGATGGTTTGGCGTCTGTTCTAGAGAATAATTAGTAAAATCTCTTTTCAGTGGTTTCGATAGGTGAGTTTAGATTAAATAGGTGACATTAGGTAAATTAAAATTTGTTCTAGGCAGACAACAAAAATGGACGAGTCCGAAGTAGTGCGGATAGAACACACCAACAGCACAGATCTGTTCGAAGATAGTTTTAGGCCTGATAATCAAAACGGAAAGCGAACTAATGCTGCAGGTAGGAAAATGCGCCATATAGATTGGGACTCCAGAAATTCGGTCATGGAAACCCTGCGCCACATTCAGGAGGAGAACCCTCAGATAGAAGCGATATTTTTGGAATCTGATGAAGGTGACGATGAAGATGACGATAACGCTATTACTATAATTGAGGATTCCGTCGACCCAATTGCAGTTCAAAGTAAGAAAGCTAGCAATAAAGCTCAAACCGAAAATAATCAAGTGAACTTGCCATCTAATCGACCTTTAATCTGTAATACCAATTCACCATTTACTGTTAGAGAAGTCTCACCATACAAGATACCATCATCTTTAATCCAAAATTCAAATACTATAGCTTTACAAGAAGATTCTAAAGGGACCACTCCAAAGAGATACTTGGTTATACCAAAGGAAGTTGTACCCATATTTGCAAATGCGAAAGGTCCAATATCTCTGAATGTTCCCGGAATTGGGCCGTTATTAATACAAAAGCCTTCCGAAATCATTTCGGGTCCTAACGCACAGCTGGATTTACAGTCATGCCTGGCTGACCTGGATTCTTCCTTCAAGAAGCAACCAAAAACTCCAGAATACAATCCTCTGTGTGATTCAAAATTTTTCTGTTGGCGGTTGCGTAAAGGAGTGAAACGAGATCTTGATGGGTTTTCTATGTATGACAGATTAGGATTTTATAAAGCAGAGCAACGTAGAGGACTAGATTGTGCAGCAAATTTGAAGTTTACTATCGCAAGCCTTGAAAGTTCAATAGCTTTAATAAAGCGAAAAATATCATCCAGCTACAATATCGAATTTAAAGAATTTGCAAACAACAAAGGGAAAAGAGGCAGAAAGAGAAAATTATACTATGACCAATCAAGAGAAAAAAGTAATGGTCGCAGAAGAAATGCAGAAACCGAAACATCAGATACAGATAGTAGCCTATCAAATGATGGCTTGCTACTGACACGAAAAGTTGTAGTTCTTAATAATGCAAAAAGTAATGACTCAACCTTCGTGAAAAAGCGCGGGCCAGGTAGACCCAGGAAATATCCACTTCCAGTTCATAAGATGCCAGGTAAACCTAGCCCGGTGAAATATTCAGGGGAGGAAGCAATTAAATGTACACCGATAGTTAAAGGTAAACGAGGAAGGCCAAAAAAGGTTGAAAATATGGGAGGCGAAGAGAAGATAAAATATTTTCAATCATTATATGATATAACACCGTGCTATATATTGGTTAATCACTGCGACATACCAGAGGAAGTTATGGAAAACTATGTGGAAACTCAATATCCCGAACAATTCACAGTAATTGATAACTTAAAAGAGTTCGAAAACAAAATTGATAATGCAAAACCGTTACTGGTTGTTAATGAGAAGCAGTGGGGTACTCTGAACCTACCACAAGTTAGCGAAGCAAATAATATGGTTCATCCTGTAACGGACGATAGTAAGATTCCTTTCTCGATGAAACTAACGGCAGTAAGATATAATTTACGATTTGTGAAACCTGACATTTTATTCCGGCACCTGTCCGGTGAAAAAATAGATAATTAACTTGTTGATACTTTGGAAGATTTGAAAAATGTTTATAACATCTTGAGTTAGAGCTGTTTTATACAGATGTATAAATTTACTTTAAGGTTTTAAGGGTTTGCTTAAAAGTAAGTTTGCATGCTATCCTGTTATCATAATTATAAAAAATATAGTTAACTATGTTTTATTTTAAGTTTGAAGATATTTAGTTCCGGCTATTCAAATGTTTGCGAATATTCATCATTATTCACACAGTATAATGGGTAGCAAAACGTGTCTATGAGTCTGCCTGTCGTATTCGAAACGAGAAGCTAATTGAAATTGTATTTTTTGGGTCTAGAGGGTTATACTTCAAATCTGCATGACGACATTTAATAAAACGAGCAAAACTTCAATATTATTTCATTTTGATTTCCATTCATGTTATAGTTAATATAATTATCCATTTTTGACCCTTGCATTATCCCTTCGATACTGTGAAATGTTGACATGTTGCAGGTCCTTCACTAACTAATATTATTAAATTGTAGCTTGCGGCGTTATTATGCTGTCGATTTGTATATATTAATTCTTAAACTGTAACTTAAGTGTCATGAGTTGCTACATAGTAACATTTTATATGTTAAATATATAAATCAGAAAAATGTAGATTTTATTTAAATAAACAGGTCACGGTAAGCCTTTTTAATTTTTCTTATTTTGCTAGTTAATTGGCTGCAGTTAGTTACAAAGATCATACAAATTAATTATTGAAAATTAATGCAAATATAAATCGAAAAACATGTTTGTACATGCATAGGTCTATATGATTTGATTTTACAAGGTTTAACTGTACACATTTATATGGAGACAATGGCATAGTACAGTATGAGACCGACGATTTTCCGAATTCTAATTAAAAGTTTTTTGCTATTTTTATCTAAGTGTAACTGTGTCAGTTAGATGTTTCGTCTTTATCTTGAAGCGTGTGAAATGGTCAATAAACTTACCTCTTTCTGGAAGAACTGGAACGAAGTATAAACAGGATTTCAAGGAGACGGGAGCGTCTGAGTTTAAAAATCATCCATTCCAATTGGTCACGAAACTAACGTTAGACCGTCGCGCATGCACACATTGCAGATTCACTTATTGGTGCGAATGTACGAATTACTACAAGGTTTGGCGGCTCCGGCAGTTTGTCTCATACTCAACAAATTCGGAGTTCGGAGGAGAATTACACTCACAATTACAACCCGAGTTGCAATTTCTATTACTGTTTTGTCTGCACATCTGCTCACTTCACAGCCCTAACTTTTATATTAAACACTACTTTTGCACTAAAATGTTTGCAAATTTATGTAGAGATTTCACAACCTATTAAGAATTGACAAATTTTCTTTGAATGTCAATGCAGTTGAACAACGTCATTGGATGAAATTTAGTCAAAACCACTAACAATGTTGCTATTTCCGTCAAATACGCTTACAAATGGTTGGAAACTTCTAGATTTTTCCTTTATATTACATGACTGACAAACGACAAGACGACAACAAAGGTTTATATAGTATCTCTATATTTGTTTAATTAATTTATATTTACTGCTAGAAAAATGCACAACACAACTTAACTGTTATTATACTGAAATAGCTAGAGTTTTCATATTAATATAAAGTGCTTATTATGTGCAAAAAATGACCCAAAATGCGAATTACCAGAAAAAGGTAAGTTGACAATTATTTTAACTACGCTTTTTGTATCAAATATATTTAATGGAAAAAGTACGAAAATCGTTTCAGTTGCTTCAATTATTCAGGTTTCGGTTTTTAAACCATCATCAGTAAAAGGCTGCATTCAAAGTCATTAGATAGCATTAAATATAAGAATTAAATAATATTTCGGTTAAATATAAGTATTTATAAAACATTCTTTAAAATTGCTTTTCATATTGTAAATAGTAAAACCGACACTGATGTGCATTACATTCTGGCAAATAATTACCTACTCCATTAGAAGTACTACAAATTTTAGTTTTTCACTTTTTTTCTGATATTTGATTCAAATTTTACCTTAACATTTAGTAGCGCTTCGGTAATGTGTTTTAAGGCTTTTACTATTCATTGGGCTTAAAAATTAAAATTTAAAAATTGTTTGCTACATTCATTTTCATAAATCTGCCCGAGCAAATCAGAATTAAAAAACTTATGTGAAAAATGAATTTCCAAAAAACTTATTTATCACTAAAACGCCCTTGTTAATATTTCCATTGGAGTGATTGGACACACCAAATACCAAATGTAGCGTAGAAATACATTTTAAAAATTAATGCATATACATTGTGATTGATATTGGTGCTATAGCCTCAAGAGGTATTAAGGAAGTATAAAAAAGACCCACAAAAAGTAATCCCACAAACAAATAAGACATTTGCAAAAATACTGCATAATAAATTTGGCAACATATTTTTCTTTCACATCTGCAAATGAAGATTTTCTCTTCAAATACCATCAAACAGAAAAATATATGAAATGTAGCGTAGAAATACATTTTAAAAATTAATGCATATACAGAGTGATTCTCAATTGGTGCTATAGTCTCAAGAGGTATTAAGGAAGTATAAAAAAAGGACGAAAAGTAATCCCACAAACAAATGAGACATTTGCAAAAATACTGCATAATAAATTTGGCAACATATTTTTCTTTCACATCTGCAAATGAAGATTTTCTCTTCAAATACCATCAAACAGAAAAATATATGAAATGTAGCGTAGAAATACATTTTAAAAATTAATGCATATACAGAGTGATTCTCAATTGGTGCTATAGTCTCAAGAGGTATTAAGGAAGTATAAAAAAAGGACGAAAAGTAATCCCACAAACAAATGAGACATTTGCAAAAATACTGCATAATAAATTTGGCAACATATTTTTCTTTCACATGTGCAAATGAGGATTTTCTCTTCAAACAAACTTCATCATATTGAACTATACATTTTATATTCTCGTTATTTGAGAATAATTCAATACTTCAAATGCTATTTTTTTTCAAATGGAATGTCCATAGCAATTATATAAATATATGTATTTCTCTCATAGGGACTCATGGGTTGCTATGAGTTTTTTCAATGTCCATTCGTAATTTATCACGGAATCTTATGGTACATTTTCATGTACAAAGGTCAAAAATATGAAAAGTTGGTAGAACGTTAGGGATTGCTTGTACATTGTTATCCATTTTAAATTTTTTATGAACACTATTTAATAACCAACCTCAAATACAACCTTGTCATATTGGTCAAAAAATGTCTGCCTATATGTACGGTTGTCGCCCTTTTTCACCTAAAAATATACAGGGTGATTTAAAGTTGGCGTTATTTCTTTTAAGGGGTTACAGGGGCTTCTTGGAGAATACGAGAAACATATTGAAAAATCTTTTTGCCAAAGTTTCTTGAAGATATTAGGTAACAGTTGAAAATCGAATTTCAACTTTGGTGATAAGTATTATTTTGAAATGGTCCCATGTTTGATTGGTAGCCTATTAGAATACTTAAGAATTCGAAAAGAAAATGACGATTTTTTAATCACATAATGAAAAATTGAAATGAAAATAAAGCATACTAACTATTTTTTTTTTAGAATAATTTAAGACAACATTTCATATGTAGTAAAAACCGCATAATTTTGATGTGGTCAAATTACTGTTCTAGAGACTTTAGACATATTTCCGTTCTTGCTCGAGTTACAAATTGTTTGGAAGAACAACGTTGCCGAATTTCTTATCTAATTTTTTGCAAATATCGCACTTTTTAATATGAGTTAATTAATGAGTATTTGTGGATACTTTATTTGCTGTTTAAAACTTGTAATTATAAAGTGTATCCGGATTTGCGTAAGAACTTATCAACTTATCCGTAAAAAATGTCATTGCTCAAGAAGATACAGGGTGTTTAAGAACATTCAAGTATTTTTGCGAAATAAGAACTTTAAATAAATCTAATAAGGTTGATGCTTTCTTTCATTCTTGCAATAAGTGTAATATGGAATACAATTATGTTGGTATTGGTCATTTGTCATATTGTCAATTTTACGTAAGTAAAAAATTGAAAAAGTCAATGAAAATCGGTGAAAATTGACTTTCCGGGATTCTAAGCAAGTATTGGCCGCCATTATTTTATGAAATATTGTCTAAATAAGGGTACATATATTCTATGCCTTGACCGATGGTTAAAAATATAATTCCAAACTGTTATTTTGTTTACTTGATTTTTATGCACACTCGGTATGGCAAAACAGTGAAAATTAATTTTGAAGCATTAGCTTCCATTTTTTATAAAAATTGACCGTTTTGAAATTTGACTTCATAAAAATTCCGTAGTATCCACGTGCTTCCTGGAGAAAACTGGGAATACTTATTAGTAGAATATGTATTTTGAATATCTAACTAACAAAAAAATAATAATTTAAGTCGATCAAAAATAGAGACTTTATAAAGGTTGATAATGCACAAGTTTTCCTTCCTTGGAGAAGCTCTAAATCCGTTTAAATCTGTTATCTAATAAATGCTCGAAATCGATGACGCGTTATTTATCACACGCAAATTGATTCTTCTGAGAAAGTGAATTGTTCAAAAAACTGATAGTGGGCGAAATAGAACGGCTGATTGCTGAAGACAATATTATAAGCAAGGATTAAGCCCCTTTTGAGTTTTGTAACAACATGCACTAACACCAAGCATGAAAAACCGTTAAAGTGTTTATGGTAGATTTTTCGTGTTCTCGAACTTTTGAAGAAACTGGGTATCAAAACATAATTTGAGGTTTCCCAGAAATGTTTTCTTTAACATCAAGTTGTGTTTGTAGCGGCTGATGAACGCTACATCGCTGCAGATCTCCCAAAAATAAAGACTTCCACAAAATGTACGATTATGTAACCTAAACTCGTATGTAATATAGTTAAAGTAGTTCATTAATTTAATTAATAAAACGCGAAAAGTGAAATGCGAGGCACGTAAATAAATATTTATTTCTATCTATCGCTCTTTAAAGGAGCTTTGCAGCAATCCAACATTCTTGTAAACAATGAAATTTGATGTTGTGAAGTTCTATAATAAAACTTATGGAGTGGAGAGGGACGAATTTATAGGTCCATCAGTAAAATAATCTCGCTTTTTACCTCGTTTGTTTTTTTTAGTTTCACCTCTAACATTTGCTGGTTGATCCATAAAGCATTAGGTAGGTAGTTACGTAATGTTATTTAGAAATATGTGAATTCCTGGTCCAGTGAAATACATTGTTGCCCAATTTCTTGTTATGGTTTTTGAGAAAACAGAAGGTTTTTTGAGAATTAGTTTATTTACTACTTAGTATGTACCAAGTTTTTCTACTAAGAGTGTCACTGCAACCAATCCAACACCTTGGCATCTTTCCATTTTAATATTGTCCAATCTGTCGTGTGAAATAACATTTGAACTCCTGTTGTAACAGGTAAAACCCATATTTTATCCATCTTCGCTATTGCTGAACTCGCGCATTTATTTTACTTTCTGGTGCCGAGGGGTCAATATATTGTACTGCGAAGCATCATAGAGATCTAGATTCTATACATAAATCATCGAATTATAAAAAAAATAGGGTCATGTTTCTACAGTACCTTGAGTTTGTAAATAAATTTGGTTTAAATGCTTTTTAACATTACATGAAAAACTTGAATACATACTACCTTCTTAAAAAAATTCAACATCTCAAACTTAACATCATTAAACATTTTACCATCCTTGGTGTAGGTATTTATTAACAGATTCTTGCAGATAGTATAACATCAACGAAATATTACGCATTTAAACATCCCATTGAACATACGGGTTTTCCTGCTCACTTAGTTTTCCACAAATAAACACATGCAACACAAAATTAATTGTACTCTATCGATCTTAGTTGCGTGAATCCTAGATTTCTAGCTACGATTTTTCTATCTAACATTTTTAATAGAAACGTGTGCCTTATCTGCAGATTTCACTACCATTCCCAATTTTTCATGAACTTCTTTAAGCGTGTCATTTGCAATGTTTGAGGCCTTCTCCGCACCTTGTGCCAATACATTTAGCAGGTAGCTTTTATCGCTCAAATGCTGAGCAATAGTATCCTGAATTGGCTTCACATATGCAACTACAGCATCAGCTACTTCTAATTTGAACCTGAAATTAAGTATTTTTACTTTAAGGGGTGATACGTAGAAGCTTTAAGAAGTGATAATGTTTCACCTGCCAGTATCCAAATGTTCAGCTTCTTTGCATATGGTGTCAATTGATTTTCCAGTTACAAAAGAATGTATACTTAGAAGATTTGATATACCCGGTCGTTTTTCCGCATCGAATGTTACCTATAAAAGGAGAAGCATTTTACCAAATGTACAGAGCATTCGCAACTATTAAAGTCACCAGCTTTTCTAATGGTTTTGGTTTTTGTTAACTAATTCTGGCATTTAATTTAGCATTCAAGTAAATTGCGCACCTGTTCGGAGATGTTTATCTTTGTATGAGTGAGCTGTTATTTTCATGCTACGATTAGCCAAACAAGTTTGATCGTGTTATATTGTCAGTAAAAGAATTAAATTTAACAGCAAAATAAATCTATGCTCAGTCAAAGGATTATATCATCATGTTAGTACTGTAGTGCTATTCGGAATGTGGCAAAAACCTCAATATCGCATTCGCTTTTCTGAAGCGCTGGCAAAATATTCCCTTTGTTGCAGGAACGAACAACATGGACGGTCAATCCTTTGTGTCTTTCCAATCGTGTTCCTTATTGAAATATATTGGCTATTGAAATATTAGCATTTAGCTTCGGAAAAGTGATACTGCAATGTTCTTACAAGTGAGTGAATAGGGCCCTTTGTGCAAGTGAGGTAAATTCATGCCTATACTGGAATGGTTGAGGAGGCGGCTCTACCTTGCAGAAAGCTGGTAAGAATGATTTTTAATCTATAAATCAGCTTAAACTGATTTCAATTATTCGAAAACCGCTCTAATTGTTAAGGCTTTGTTAAATTTCTCTTCCGTGCTTTTGCTAATTGCAGATGTCTAATGAAACTAACTTCGTAATATGTGTGTATGTAATTTAAAAGGTTTTTTTAAATCTTTGAATATTATTTAAATTTGGGCTTTCGACATCAGAGCCATAGTTACACAAGTAAACGTCCCCAAGAATTAAAACTTAAATATTAACTTAAATTTAAATTTCACTTGCAGTCGATTTTAAATGTTTAGTTTGCTCTTTGAAATTTTCCATTAAAAAATATTTATTTTCATTATTTAGTGACATGTTTTGTTGGCTACTCTGGGGATGTTACTTGTGCAAGAATGTTGACGACAGTCCTGATGATGAGGTGATTGTCGAAAGCGAGAGCCTTAAAATATATTCAAAGGTATTTAAAATAATTTTATCTAGTGTAAACACACCCCCGAGCTTGGAATACTTTCCGATTATACGAAAAGAATGTTTCTTTCTTTCCATTTGAACCGAAGCAGCTTTCGGTAAGTCTGATATTACTTTGCCCCTGGTTGCCGTGTAGAACACTTTTAGTATAATATTGTTGGCTTGTGTTTTATTACATTGATGCATGCAATATTTATTCGACGAGAGGCAACGAGGAACGACGAGCGAGCTGGATTTTGGCTTGTTTTTACAAAATTTTCGAATTTTGTTTCAGTAAAATAAATTTTAATTCATGTGAACCATTTGATAATACATTTTCTCAGTTTTTTATGAACTTTAACAATACATTTATTTGTTCTCTTGGAAAGTAGCTCCCATAATTTACAGCTCTCTTGGGTCAATTACATCCTCAATTCTTGTTCTTGTGATCTCAAAAATTATTGTTCAATTTTGCAAATATATTTTTTCGTCCGATGACTTTTTTAACCGAAATTTTACTACTTAAAAATAAAATAAGGATGTTCTGCTGTGAACACCTTTGCTCATCTACGAAATAAAATATCAATTAGTTTTTTTTCTTATACATATAATTTACACTTTTTACTGTCTTGAATACGCCAAACTTCAAACTAATGTGCCTAAGGTTTGTGGATTTATTTAGTGGTCCTGGCTTAATAATTTAGATTGTGCACTGTTTTTTCAAAATTTTACACTAAATAAATTATGTTTGTCAAACGATTCGTACCAGGGACTTTCAGCCGCCAGGATCCATCCGAATATCCCAGTTTTTTTGTTGTCCATCGCATTTCAGGCTGCATGTGATCCAGACCAAGATTATTTAGAACTTCGGTCGTTCTTCAAAATTAATTATTGATTATTAAATTTAGCCGGTCAATTGTTAAGTGTTTTTTGAACAAAATCTGTAAATTTAGTGGTCTGGATCCGGACGGCAATTGTATATTGCAGTAGTAGATGGCAATCAGGGTTGTAGTTGTAGTATTTACATGGGCAGCTGGCCTTTTGTGGACTTTTACGGACATTTCTCTGTAAGTTGTAAAGCGGTTTTTGCGCATTTTTATGGAAGTTTGAAAATCGTTTAGACAATTGTTTGCGTTTTGTGTTGACGGTGATATATGGTTTTTAATAAGTGCACCTGTGGGTACTAAAAGTCATGTAATCTGAATGTAAGACATGTTATGCAGCGGTAATGCAAATTTTATTGTTTTTCAGTAAGTAAAATTTTCGTGTTATTTATATGAACATGTTATATAAATCAAAAAATATAAAAAGGGTATATTTTACATTTTATCATTCATACTGTTTCTGTTTTACTTTTATTTGGTTTTGTATACAGGGTAGGGTAACTCATTTTAAAATAACCACTCAAATGTCTCATAAATTGTGGCAAATACAAGAAAATGTTTTATACAAATTATTATTCGGAGGAACCCCGAAGGTGATACCAACTTTTTTATAGATGGCGCTGTTAATGCTGGGAGACAACTTCAATTTTTAGATGGATTGGTATATTTTTTACTAAAACATCTGATTCAGCATTTAATTATAAATAAAAAAGTTTTAAAGTTGGATTTAAAAATAATATCGGAAATTTGCATTTTTTGATATTCTCATAATTTTAATTTACCATCAAGTGTGTTGATTCGCTGCCAGCATACATATCTCGTAAAAACATGTAAAAATAATACAAATATAAAATAAATTTTATTTTTCTAGTTTTTTTAATTAAAAATATTTTAATGGAGAAATGTTTTCGAACCCCCGTAGTAATAATAGTGGTTAATAAATATTTCGAATTCTGCTAACTTTAGCCCATATGTAGTTTAAAACTTTTTTAAGAGTTATTAAGGACACAAACTCTTTATTCCAGTGTAACTGTTTTATCTTAATCTTTCTTTTGCGTATTTGCTTCAATATCTGTCGTTTAAAAGGATTTTATTGGTGGCGTTATGTGGTGGCATTACAATATATGTAGGAACATTATTCCAAGCGGTTCTTTTAACTCTCGACTGAAGTTATTGAGATCAAACCTTAATAACCCGCAAATAAAGCGGTTTTACGGGAGACTATTGTCTCCCTTAACTTTAAGCGTAATAAATGCCTTTTATTGAGTTTATTTGCGACGTTTCGAGTAGTTTAACGTGCAACCGTTATAAAGAACACACTGAACAAGGTATTCTTGCGGCTGCGTGAGTTATAGCAAGCGTGCTGATTGTGTGAGATCGAGATTTAACTATCTTCGAATCTCCCCTTGAAACAGTTTTTAAGTCACATTTGGGTACCTTATTTTATAATATAACGCAATGTTAGTACCTGCTAACGCGCGATAGAATCGCCGAACTAACTTCTAATTTTTGATATATTGCTTGTTCATTTTTTTAGTGTTAGCAGCAGTAATATTAAAAAATCAACAATAAACTTCATATTTACTGAGATATCGCATTTTGACGCACTAATGAGCAACCCTGTATACTATATGTAACAAATTTATTTGTCTTCTTTAAAATCACAATCGCTGAAAACTGTTTTCCAAAATTCGCAGCGGGTAGTGTACAGCATCGATTTCTGTGGAACCCAGTAGCTGTCAAAACTTTCACATTTTTACGAATAACTCGGAAATCGTAAATTTTTCAGGTAAAACGTTTGACACAAACTTAACTTAAATTTTGACGACAAATCTGAAAATGAATGAAAAAAGGGGCGGTTCCATTTAAAAAACCAAAGTTGGTAACTACCACACGTTTATGATACACCCCGTATATTGGAAAGTAATTTTAAAATGTGGACCTTTTAAACATGAAAAACTTTCGTAGGACGTATTTTCTTGTAAAGTTCATATTTACTGAGATATCGCACTTTGACGCACTAATGAGCAACCCTGTATATTTTGCTTAGATTGGAAAAAGCTATTAGGCTGGTGGTTACTTTTACTCTAACAAAAAATATTACTGTCGTACAAACACCTTCAAAATTTAAGTTAAGTTTGTGTCAAACGTTTTACCTGAAAAATTTACGATTTCCGAGTTATTCGTAAAAATGTGAAAGTTTTGACAGCTACTG